ACAAGAACCTGGTCTGGGGTCACCTCAGATGAAGTTTCTTTGGGGATGCCCCAAGTTGGATTCAGAACCCTAACCATGGAGTGAATTGCAGGTTCCATGGTCCAACTGTGGAGTGTATGAATCAAAGCTGGGCTTCCTCAGTGGCTTAGATGGAGCAGTGGACAGTATATCCAGGTGCATATGGAGGACATGGAAGTCCACTGAAGTCTGCTGAGTACACCTGGTATCAGAACAGAGGACGGAGGACAGAACAAATGGATCAACTGCCCCAGCCAAGTGTTGGCAGTGAATATCTGGCAAATAGAGACTCTAAAGTGGACTACATTAACCAGTTGATTCTGGAGAGATTTCATCATGCTTGGAGAGGCGAGGTTGGCAATAATTCAAAACTGTTAAACTATCAAACCTCTTGAGCAGGACCGTCGGAGCATGCCCCAAATCAGGACCTGAGGTGGTGTTGGGTGGCTGTTCTCCATCCCAGGGAACTGAGACGGTTGGGAGGCTGGATGTGGCTTCTCTCCTTGTCTTCCCCTCCCCCCATATGCAGGAAGGAACAAAAAAGAATGCGGGAATAATGGTCTCATCTACCTTCCTGTAGCCCTTGACCCTTATCACCCTAACCAACTATGCAAAATCATCAAAAATAAACATAATTATCATTAAAACACAGACAAACAAACAAAAAACCAACTCACAGCTCCCCTGTCTCAGCATGCACTCGTCTCCATCAGGGATGGATGAGTAGGTGCATGGACAAACAGATCAACAGGTGAACGTCTCATCTACAGAAGATGATGATGACACATGGTGCTCAATTTTTAAAAGCACTTTGTAACTTACCATCTTTTTCCTCTTATCTTGTTCTGTAGGTGGTTCTTCATCCTCTGTCACTTTTGGTTCTTCAAGATGGGACATTAACATACAGCTGTAATTGAGAAAAAACCTTATGTTTTAGATAACATACTGGAAAAAAAAAACCCTCATGTTTTAGATAACATATTAAACAAGCTTATTTTAAACTATAAAAATACATCTCAATTTAAAAGCGGTCATAACAAAATGCTGTAGAGCATTTTACCTGAGCATTTAAGAGAATAAGCTGTAAAATATTTAACAGGCAACTTTTGAAGCAAGTATCACTTGACAAAGCAAGGCATATGATAAAATTTAAATGAAAACTTCCCCAATCTTCATGCCTTCATATTATTATACAGGTAATAATTTGAACAGTAACACTAAAAGCTATTACTTCTATTACTTATGGAACAGCGTACTTTCTGCTCCAGCCCGGTGCCGAGGACTTGTCCTGAGAGTGCCCGTACCTTCAGGACAGTCATACACCACTTCCCTCGATCTGCACCATTGCTTCTCACCATTAGCAAGGATAACAGAAACAGGTTCCTATTCAATCAAAACTGGTTCCAGAAAAACAAGAAATGGATACTGTCTGATGAATATATCTGATGGAACAAATTCCACTCCTTTCTATATTAGAACAGGAAAATTCAGTAATTTACCAGTCACAGGAGGCAAACCAATCAACTATGGCAAACAAAAGTTCAATTTTGCATGTTTCGTAGCAAGCACTGGTGGAAGACAATTCCTGGCTCAGCTGTGTAAGTAACTTTTCATTTAGAGTTAAGGGCAAGTGCTGATACCAAAACAGCAAGACCATAACCTCCCTAAAACTCAGCATACAACCTTGACCTCTCCAAGGTGCAATGCTTTTATACACCAAGACATAATAACCCAGTGTACCTGAAGTAGCCAGAAAATGCACCTCAGCACAAAGTGAGAAAATTATATTACTATCAACCCGAAAGCTATTTAACAAAGGGAAGTGTTGTAAACATACCTGGATGCCAGTTTGTATTTTAAATCAGATGATAGGGGCTGGAGGGCAAGTGTACAGGCAGCAGTTAGCTCCACCACTGGGATAGCCATATCCCTTAAGAGTGCCTGGGTGAATCCTAGCTATCCACCTTCAAACCACAACCTGGCAGGCAGTTGGCGATACTACCTGGGCTCCTGCCACCAACTCGGGAAACTCGAATGGACTCCACGGCTCCTGGCTTCAGCCTGGCTCACTGTCTGTCTGCAGGCATTCAGGGAATGAACCGGAAGATGGAAAATTCATCAACCTTCTTCTCTATCTCTGCCTCTTTTTCTCTCATCCTTCTCCCCATCTCTCTCTGCCTTTCAGACAAAATGAAAATTACCTGTTAGATGGAAAATGAGATGGGATGGCTTTATTCTAGCAATTTTTCTGGCCCGTGTTAGACCTAAATCCAACTGCAAATGAACATGGATGTTTGTGGAGGCTGTCCACTGTGCACTGCATTCTCCCCCTGCATTCCACGACCTGCTGACAACACTACTTGGACAATAAGACACTGTGTGCTGCCCTCCCTGAAAGATTTACCACACTAATAATGGAATTACTCTGGAGGTACATTTATACACACTTTTTTTCCTTTCTTTCAATGATCAGAAACTACCTAAGGGCAGACTATTCTTGCTTTGCAATTCTGAGTACTCACTTGAGTCTCTGGAAAGTCAAAAGAGAAAATTAAATGAGAACAACAAAGGACTTAGGAGCCTAAAGCTAAAATTCACTTGTAAGGAAATTCCCAATTAAAACTTAACTTTCATCTTGTTGGCAAAGATTAAAGATAAGCAATCACATTAAACATAAAAGGCATGCGAATTAATAGATTTTTGAGTAAGCTAAAAATGCATGGGCCATGAATATAATTATGGTGACACTTATAAAACACTAGTAACAGCTTCATCTGGAATCACTACCCTGTGAATATATGCAGACACTTCCCTATTTGACACCTGTGAAAGAAATTACTGAGTAAATCCAGGCATGCCCGCCAGCTAAAGCAGAATCTTTCTCAACAAGGAACTCTGACTAGCCACACACATATACCAACCACTGGGAACACAAAACAGGAAACCTATAAAATCACTTCTGGTTTAAAAGCTATTTGTGCTAACATCTTTCACTTACTGGAACATAAACCGTGTTTTAAGTAATTCAGCTGCCATACAGATGACAAAACCAGTGTGAATTTCTACCCTCGCTGAGCCCTCATCAACAGCACTTGCCCTCAACACTTCTTTGGCCTCATCAATTTTTCCCGATTTCAGAGGGTCCAACGGGGATGCTTCCAAGTTGCCCTGTGTAAGCATGTAAGCAGAACCAGACTAGCTGCCTGCAAGGAGACACCCTACCTCACTCTACCCGCCAGCCCGTGGACGAGCAAGGCAGTCCCTGGAGGCAGAGGCGGGGAACTCGGGTCACATTCTCAAGGTTCAGTGGCAGTGTTTCTCACACTGAGCCTGCATCTGAGTCACCTTTGTTAAGGCACAGTCTACTGGATCACACGCCCACAGCAGCTGCCACGTTAGTAGGTCTGGGCAAGAACCGAGAATCTGCATTTCTCATGATTTCTTCAGTCCATGATTCTCACCGTTAACTCCATAATGCTTATGTAAAGGGTGACTCTAAGTTGTTGCTGGGGAGCAGGGCATATATATTTTATTAACCATAGTACTGTGCTGGACCAAACCACCAAAAAGTGTTTTCTACTTAGATCTCTCTGGCATACATGAGACTGATTTCAGCAAATGATAAATGCTTTTAATGCCATGCATCCACTGAGCTTTCTTCTAGGCTGACATAAGACACTGCTGATGAGTCACCTCACATGACACAACACTGCCGGCCTTGTTCAGTCCGTCTCTGTACAGGATGCTTGGTTTACCCGCTTTTCATCAGCCTTCCTGACAGAACCCTGAATCTACCTAATTGCCCCCTTCTGCTAAGCCACCCATACTTCAGTCAAGCTGACTCCTGCCCCTGTGCCAATCACACGGCCATCCTTCTCCCCTGGCCAGTGACACACTCAGCTCCAGCACATTTAAGGTTTTCTGGTCTATACAATGTAAGGGGAAGTCTGATGGAAGGATTTCTAGAAAAGGTCTGATTTAACCTGACGAAAAAAACTTGTTTTTCTAATGGTGATGCCAAGGCCATACTAATCCTGAATTTACTTATTCATAGTTGTGTTTTTTGGTTAGACATGACTAATTCTTTATTGTTTAGGTTTAATGTCCTTAGACAATGTCTCATACAAACATCAATGAAAAAATCTCTTCTATGGTCACTACAAGAGTCTTCTGAGAAACTCCTTTCCTGTACCAGGAAATAAACACCATATATTTCCTAATATTTCTATTTTAGTGTCAGTGGTTAAAAGCTCAAAGTACATATCCACATGCCATTCAAGTTTTTTTTCCCTGAAATTCACTTGATCATATAGTAGTTTTCTGTTAAAATGAGTGTGGATTTTCCTAATGAGCTGCCTCAAATCCTGTTTTGACCACTAGACTGAATAAGGATAATTAACTGAATGCTGTACGTAAAGGAGCAGTACAAAGGGCCACAGAAGAAAAACAGAAGATGCAATGAACTCTTCCCGTCAGAGGGGAAAGGAGTTCAGATCAGGTATGTGCCAAGCAGGGCAGGGCTGAAGGTATTACTCCTAAGAAGAGCTCGTATGATGAAGTCACAAGTACAAAGTAGCTACACAAAGGCCACTGCTGTAGTTCAACAGCCTAAACCTCCACTCTGTGGTGTCAACAACCCACATGGGTGCTGATCATGCCCCGGTTGCTCCACTTCCAATGCAGCTCTCTGCTGACAGCCTGGGAAAGCAGCAGAGATGGCCCAGGTCCTTGGGACCATGCATCCACGTGGGAGACCAGAAAGAAGTCCCTGGCTCCCAGCTTTGAAATCAGCTTAGCTCTGGCTGTTGTGGTCACGTGAGGAGCGAACCCAGTGGATAAAAGACAGAGCGCTAACATTCATTCACACTTGCTTTCTTTCTCTCTCTCTCTCTCCTTTCCTCCCTCCCTCTCTTCCTTCTGCCTTTCAAATAAAAATAAAGCTTAAAAAAAAAAAAAGGAAGGTACAAATGAGGAATGATGAGGCCTATAAGAAAGCAAGAGAAAAAAAAAGCTAGTGCTGGTACTGTGGGTCAGCATGGAACAGGGCCTGTCTTCATCTTTCTCTTAGTTGATTTTAAGAAGTGGAGCAGATCAAATCAAAAAGAGAGATCTGAAGAGACAGAGAAAGAAAACCCAGAGGAGGGGTGCCACTGAAGACACCCACAGTTAGAACCATACACGGGTGACAACATCAGAATCAGGGAACCAATATTTCTTCAGTATTTCTGCCTCCATTTTAAAAGCCACCTGGTACCAGATGGAGGAGGAAAAAGTGCTTAGAAAAGCTTGAGTTTTACCTTTGTTTCAAATAACACTTACTGATAACTACTACGGCTTTATATACTCAACATTTATTAAACTTTCTAATCAGTTTTAGTGCTTTTATGCTTCCAGAAATGCTAGTTAAATTTTCCCTTCCTTTTTACTTCCCAAGTTTTGAAAAGGAGCTATCAATCTCAGTTCCTAATGATCCCGACAGCAAAATATTAAGGAAACAAAAAGAAAACAACCTGGCTACACAAGATGGCAAATGTCGAGCATCATTAATATGGATATGCTCTCCTAGCCTAACAAGCATCCTACTAACTGAAAGACTCCAAAAACCACTGAATTCTCTCAAAACGGAATTCTGCCTTGCTTTAATGGACTCATTTCTTTTCTTTTGCTTCCCTATAAAAAACATCACCCCTGAGCCAAACACAATCATCAACAGGCCTGGAGAAGAAAAAAACACGGTACTGGGTTCCAGGTATCCAGGAACGCAGACACACAGGTCTAAGCTTTTCTGCTTCGGATGTGCTGAAGGGTCAACTTGTTTTTCTTACTTCCAACAATTTCACCCATGGAAGATCCAAGCTTTTCTTCATGGTGAGCCTGACATCAAGTCAGAAGAACTTGGTTTCAGGCCTGACTTGCGCACATCCCCGGTTACTGCACTTTCCCCAACTTTAGCATATTGATCTTTAGTATTCTAGAAGTGCAATGATTATTTCTGAACTTTATTTCCAGCTATTTCCACACTCGGTTCCCTTCCGTTTTAAATGTGTTAGGATTTTGCTTCTTCACCATCTTAACACACCTATCTGAACTGTTAACAGATAGTACCTTTCCTTTCACTTTTACAAAACAATCTAGAATTAGGCAGTTGTATGCTCTGCACAAAATACACATAATTGTTTTTCCTTGCTAGTGTTTTTCACTGTGCTACCAGCATGCTCTTCTCCTTACTGTATTAAAAATCCAGAGGGACAAAATCTGAGCTTTCAATAAATACTTGCAAATTTTGTCATACATTATGCATAAAAATATATTTACAGTCATGTCATGTAAATACTTGCATGAACTTTTTAATGAAAATGTCCATATGCATCAACGGCTTTAACTGTCACTTTTAGTCATAAAGCTTTCTTCCTTTCACATAAACTTCTATTTTCTCAAAAACCTAAGATGCACATCAGACACATTTTGTTCATTTACATTTAGTAACATTCAACCACATTTATCTGCTCTCCATATTTTTTCACAAAATATGATTCAAATGGCATTCTTTCCCATATGGTCACTTTAAAGAGAAAAGAAAAAAAAAGTAAGCTTAGTATGTTACTAATGAGAAGTCCAGCAGTCTGGGATCTCCTGAAGACTGCTCATAGTGCATAAAATACACCTTTCAGTAACAGTAATATTAAGTGGAAAGGCAGGACAATTTTACTAACTAGAAGAGGATACAACGATTTATTTTTTAAAAGGATAAATTTTTGAATTAATTATTGTATGAAAATGTGATTATCAGCTTTCCTAATAATATAATTTTTCTCTTCTTCTAATGAATTTTAACTGTTCTCTTTTGCAACTAGTCAATAACCTTGTAACTTCCTAAGAACTTAAAAACATGAATGATGCTTCAACCAGAGAAATACAAAGGATCTCATCCTGTTTTCTCCACGGTTTGCTTGAAACACAGGGAAACTTTTAAGTTAAAACACAGAATATGCTTAACACCTCTTAAAAAAGAAAATTTACATAAAGCACATGTACAATTAAAAAAAAAAACATGCCAAATCACACGCACAAAACATGATGAGAACCAAGAAGCCCAATTCAACATAATACTGTGACATAAGATGGTCAAACAATAAATGTAGGTAAAGCAGTTTTTGGTATAAAACACCTAATTACAAAGTTTCTTTTCTGGTGATAGTAAGCAAAACTCAGGCAATAGAGTCACTCTTGCTCAGATCCAATTCTGGTTAATTAAATATCCACCTACTCTTTGTAAGTTCCTGTTTCCGAATCTTCAGTCATGACGTCGTGCAGGCCCTCCACTGCGATGTTTATAATCCCGCAGAATTTATCCTGGATAACACTAGAGACAAGAAGAGAAGAGAGGTTGACTGACACACTCACAGGTGACTTCTTTTCTCCTAAACATTCTCTCAAATACGAAGAAATATCTTAGCCGTGAAGATGAAACTTTCAAAATATACTTCCTAATCCTTTGCATAACAATTTAAATTTCTCTTTCATTTGATTATTAATATTTTCAAGTACTAGAGGAAGAGATTAGAACAATATTTTAATCTTAATGGCTTAGCAGCTTTGTTTATGAAAAGAGTGACAACAATTACAAAATACTGTTCTTCCAAAAAAGCTGTCAAGAAAAACAAAAGACAAGTCACAAGCTGGGAGACAAGATTTTTTAAATTGTCATTTTAAAATAGGCAAAAATTTAAATAGACTTCACCAGAAGACATATGGGTAATGTATGAGTACCTGAAAAAATGTGCAATATATATAGGCATCAGGGAGATACAAACTGAAATCACAGTAAGGTTTTAATTAAAAATAAAATCAAGAAGACTGATAATGCCACATTATGGTTATAGTATCAGGAAGATATCATACCTTGCTGTAAGGAATCAAAACAGCACAACAAGGGGACAGTAAGGGTTTGGCATGGCATTAAGTTACCAAATGAGACATCATCTCTCATTTAGGACTGTGGGTTCAAGTCACATTTCTGCTTCTGATCCAACTCCCGGCTGGCATGACTGAGAAGGTAAAGGAAGAGAGCCAAGGTGCTTTGGATCCCTGCCACGAACATTCAAGTCTCAGGTGAATTCCAGGTTCTAGACTCTGGCCTATCCAAGCTGGCTGCTGCAAACATTTGGGAAGTAAACCAGCAGGTGGAAGATTGTCCTTCTCTTACTCTTAGTTTTCAAATCAACAAATTAACATCCATTTTGAAAAACATGCAGTTTTTATAAAGGTAAATGCACACCACAGAACTAAGCAATTAACTCATGTGCCCAAAACCAAGACCTACATGGAGACTTACAGCAGCTTTATTCCTCATCACTCCGAGTTGCAAGCAACTCCAGTGTACATCAAGACAATGGATCAACACATCGTGGACCACTAGTGCAAAATATTCACCAATAAAAAGGAATAGAGAAAACACATATTCAGACATGGGATAAATCTCTTCAGAACAATGCTGTGAGAAGCCAGATCCAGAAGGGGACATACGCGTGACCTTTTGGAGAGGCAGAAGTAATGGACTAGTGGTTGCCTGGCAATGAGACACAGGCAATAGGAGTGTTCCACAAGTTGAGCATAGCTGTGGACACCACCATGTACATTTGTCAAAAGTGCACAATTCAAAGAGACCTTGTTAGACGTAAGCTATACCTGAATTAATGTGACTTCAAAAGGAAAAAGGCACAACTACCCACCAGCATAGTAGATTACACTACCTGAATTTCAAACTAACTGAAAATGACTGAATTCCCAGCCCCCTGGGGAACATACAGCATCATTCCTGCATTACGAAGCATTCTTACTTTTTTAAGTTTGTAATACTTTACAGAGGGGTCATGGTTCCCCTTTGTAAAGCCAAAACTTGCTGTCTTTACCTTCAACTGTGATCAATTTGGAGAACTAAATAAGGAGACGGATAAAATAATAACTTGGAGATGTCATTCTGATCCACTCTCACCTGCGTCTACACCCTACTGCAGGAGTTTTTTCAAGTCATTGTGTTTTCTCTCTTCAAAGTGTGTGAGAGGATCTAGTCAGATTACACACACATACTACGGCAAGGCACTTTACCATCTACAGAATGCCTACCTACTCCATATTTTGGTCCCTGTACTTTTAGAAAGAAAACAGGCAGGAATTGGGGGGGAAAAAAACAGGTAGGAAAGAACATAGACAAAATTTTCAATTAAACTTATAGGACAGTTTTGCAAGCTGAAATTGACAATAGAATATTTTCATATTAACAGGCCAAAGAAAGGGGAAAAAATCAATACTTAAATTAATTTTGAACTATCAATTTATCTGAAATCACACTGTAATTATACTTCAGATAACCTACCTGAAGTCACTGTTCCATAATTATAAGTTAAATAAAGGAGGGGAGTAAAGTAAGTACATTTTTAGGTGCAAAAAAGCCAACACCAAATATATTCGCTTAATAGAATTTCTTTGCTTCTATGGCTTAATAGGATCAAGAAAAGAATGTTCTTTGTTTTAAAGAGAGTCAAGGGGAGAAGCAACAGAACTGGGACTTTTTTCTTCTTTTAGACATTTCCCAGGAACTCTGCTGTAAACACTTTGTCACTTAATGGAAACACACATCATTTTACCCAGTAAGACTCTGCACGGAAATGCATATTAATAAATCTAATCTCCCGGGCAAACACGGCAAGGAAACAGGCTTAAGATTCATAGTGGAAATTCACTATCTTAAAAAGAATACTGTTTCTTTTTTTACCTCAACTTAATGATCCTCACACAGGCTGCTGCACAGTGTCTTCCCTCAGTACCTTCTGGAATGTGCACACATTGGGCCCCCACCCCAACTAAAGCTATTACAAGTCCAAAAAATAACTGGAATGATCTACGTGCAACAAGACGAGTGGAAAGTACCATCCGATGCGATTTTCAAGTTAATGACTTACAAAACTGAGAAAACTGGAGAAATCTCCTCCAATGTTTATTTTGGATACTTACAACAGTCACAGAATCAGTTCCTCTTTTTTAAAAAGTGACAATATAAAAGAATTTCACAAAGATCTGCTAGTTATTGTGTTTGGAGGATATGACCTTGCCACTGTAAACTTTGGAAAATTTTTATAAATAATTCAAATAGAGTAAATGCAAGGTAATCATCAAGATAAACCTTCAAAACAAACAAAAATGTCAACTGCACTGATGTTATTAAAGTTGTGCAAAGAGGTACTTGACGTCTTCAGTTCAATTCCTGGGGAAATCCTGTGTGTCACACAGTTCAGACCAAAAGGAAGACAATGTGCTCATGAAAATTAGAGTGACATAATCCAAAGGTGATTTGGGGAATGAGATGACCCTAATACTAATGATTTCTAACAAGTATGTGCCCAGACCAAGAAAGACTGCAGCATTTGTATTGGCCAGGTCCGGGGACAGGCTTCAGCACCCATTGGCACACATGAGCACCAGGACAGGGTGTGCACCACACTCAACTGGGCCAGGCTATAACATCCGCCAGCAAGAGCTGAGACTGAGGGCAAACCATGCCAAGCTTAGCTGGAGTATCCACAAGCAGCTGCAATATCTGGCATAGAAAATGGACCTGGAAGAAGAACTCTGTGGATTCTCCTGCTAGACTACAGCTCCCCCTGGGGAGTATGAGAGCCAGATTTGGGGGCGGCTAGGATGGGCAAGACTGAAGCACCCCCTGGCATACATATGGACTGCACTTGGGGGTGGGCCAGTCTGGGTTAGGTTCCAGCATTTGCTTGTGCTTGCCAGAACCAGAATGGCTGTGAGACAGGCCAGGCCAGGCCAGGCCACGCCACGGCACTCACTGGTTCACATGAGAGCCAGGTGAGGGAAAATGGACCAGGCTGGAAGCACTCACCAGTGAGTACTGTAGCACCCACCAGTGAGAGCTGGAATGGGCGCGGACCAGTCAGGCTAGGTAGCAGTACCCGCTAGTGAGTGCTAGGACTTGAGCCCAACCATTTCAGTATATGTGGCAGCATCCATAGGCACATACATGCATGTGCAAGTACTCTCACACACACACACACACACACACACACACACACACACACACATATCCATTGCTGGGAGCAGGTCTGGTAAGGAGTACATGGGGAATCCCCTGCAAGGATACAGGTCCTTCTGCTGATGAGCACAAAAGTCCAGGTTGAAGCAACCAGACCAGGTTAGACTACAGTACCAGTTGGCATATGTGTGGTCCAGATCGAAAGGTGGGCTGGACCAGGTTAGTCCACAGCACACACTGCCACAAGAGAGCATGGTGTACAGGTCAGGCCAGGTTGAACAGCAACACCCACTGGCTGGGGTGGGCCACCCTGGGCCAGGCTGCTGCACTCACTGGCTAGAGCTGAGACTGGGGGGGAGGGCAGGGCTGAGCTAGGCTATTGCATCTGCTAAAAAGCCTAAGACTCAGGGCTGGGAATAGATCTTGTAAGGGAACTTTGGGGACTTCCCTGCAGGGCTGCTGCTTCCACTGGTGAGCATTAGAGCTGGGATTGGAGGCAAGATGGTCTGGGGTAGTCCAGCTAGGCTAAGGTACAGCATCCTCCGGCAAGTGTCTGGACTGGACAGGTACAAGTCATGTCAGTCTGTCCCACAGGACCTCCAGGCAAGCACAAGATCCAAGGCTGGAAGTGGGCCTGGTAGGGGAACTGTGGGGCACTGCTTTGCTAGGATGCAGCTCCCACTGATGAACACAACAGACAGGGCTGGTGGTGGACCAAGATATGCAAGGCAGAGGAATGTTCTGCATGTGTGAGGGCAGGTCAGGCTGAGCTAAGCTGCAAGACTCACGATGTGAACATGAGAACCAGACAGGACACAGGACAGATTTAGCTAGGCCACAGCAAAAAGTGGGGCTAGGGGAGCCTGGTGGGGTTTATCGGGGGTTACCCCAACTAAGCTGTGGCACCTGCTGGTGTGCATGAAGATCAGAACTGTGGCGGGCGGGGCTGGGTTAGGCTGCACCACCCATCGGTTTGCACGAGAGATGGGGCAAGAGGCAGAACTGACCAGGCAGCTGCATCCACTAGTACACGCACTGCCTGGTGCAGCAGACTAACTGGCTGGCAAACACAAGAGTCAAATCTGAGGTTGCCTCAGGTGAGGTTTCTTGGGGAGCTCCGCAACCAGACCCCTGAACTCAAACCCTGGCCACAAGGTTCAATATTGTGGTCTGACCTGACCTTGGAATGCATGTACCAGGATTGGGACTCCTCAGTTGCCTGTGCAATGATCGGCATGCCAGATGCATGCAGTGGACATGACACAGGCTCACCTGGGCCAGCAGAGGATATCAAGTGCCACGTATGAGAATGGAAAGGTTGGACCACTCTCCTGGCCAAGCTTTGCGCAAAGTGTCTGAGTTCATGCTTGCACAATGAGGTGGACTCAGTCAACAGACCTTGGAAAAATTATCTCAACCCTGGAGTAATGAAGACGATGACATCTCAGAGTTACCAAAACCACTTGAGGAACACCCTCAGAATACTCCTCCCACATCAGGTCTCTAAGGCTTTATCAAAGGATCAACTCCCACCCCTGGGGGGCTGACTTAGTTTGACAGCAAGGAGCGAGCCCCTCCACTTCCTTCCCTACAGACACAGGAAACAAGAAAAAACTGAAACATTTTCCCCACCCACCTTCTTCCATGCTTTGACCTGCCCCCATCCTAAACAGGAATCAACATGCGGAGCGGCATGCTTCCCTCTCAACTATGGAAACAACGTTAAAAATAAAATAAAATAATTATCTAAATATGAAAATTAAAACACAAGGGGAAAAATCTAAAAACACACACATGTGTATTTAAACTAACAACTTCATATAAATAAATCCCATTGGAGCATTTTGTTATAGCTTTAGAAATGTTATGCTCAAGATGACTGAAAATACCTCACCTGGTTTTCCTGGAGGAAAACTCGATGATCAGCTCGCTGGCCCACCCAGCGGCACTGCTGTGAGATCTACAGGCTTTGGAGTACATCTCCAGCCTTCCCAGCCACTCTCATAAGCATCTCTTACTTACAGTATCCAACACCAAATTTACTAGTGCTTCCCCAACAAAAACGAAACAGAAAACCAGAACCAGGCACTCTTCCAAATTTCCTTCCAGCATCACCATCAGAAAATCAAGCCAAAAACATGGGATTCCATGGCAACTTTCTTTCCACTCACCCATCTAACATGTAATAGTCAGATTTATCCTTAGGGTGTTTATTTCTGATTCCTTCTAGTTCTACTTTTAACACTGTGCTACAAATTGTTTATGTCTCTGGTCCAAATTATGGCACAACTTCCTCATCTGGATCCTTTCATTTTTTAAGGTAGGGTTTACACATATGTATGAAAAATTTAACAGACATGGGAAGGGTCGGATGGACACACACATACAGACACATACACACATATATGCTCATTCAGAGCAAGAAAATTACTTTCTACTAAAATACAGTGTCCTTGACTGCATCACTTGATGCCCTAAGAGTTCACAGTAAGGAAATAAAGCACATCTGGGACAGCAGCAGGTGTACTAAATAATTTGTTCATTCACACCACTTTCACCAAGATATTTCCCTTTTCATTGAGAGGCTTTCCTCATTAAAAATGTGCAGGTATGGACCCGGCACAATGGCTCAGTGTTAAACCCTCACTCTGCAAGTGAAAGGAACTGATATGAGTGCCAGTTTGTATCCCAGCTGTTCCACTTCCCATCCAGCTCCCTAAAGCCTGGGAAAAGCAAGGGAGGACAGCTCAAAGCCTTAGGACCCTGCATCAACATGGGGGACACAGAGGAGACTCCTGGCTTTGCACCGCCTCAGCTCTGGCCACTGCTGCCCTACAGGGAGTGAATCAGCAGATGGGAGATCTTCCCCTCTGTCTCTCTTCTGTATAAATTTGATCTGCCTTTCCAATGAAAAGAAATACATCGGATTTTTTTAAATGTGCAGGTACACACAAGCCTGCTAGCTTTTTCAAAGTGAGCACTAGTGATAGAGGATGCTAATTTTAAACATGAGTATTGAGACAACACACTACTGGCATAAAAAATTGATCTATTACCTTATTATTTGTTCTATAATTGAAATCTGTAAGAAAGCAGATAATAATAGTATTTAAAAAAAAAAAACCCTGATTCATAACTCTCTCACTGGCCCTAAGAGCTTGTAGGAAGATCCAGTAATGAAAAGACAAATACAAACTTCACTGAGAAATAAGCCTTTTCAGGAAGAAATCAGTATTTGGTAGGACATGGGAATAAAAATAAATCTAGTGATACACATTACAGCTTTCCGGTTTGTCTCATATGCCCCACACTACCTCCTCTTAGTTGAAAAAGTGTACTATGCCACAAGGAGATGTACATGTTTTCTGGCCTGTAGATCAGTAACAGGAAACACACAAAGGAGCTGGATCCTTGTAAGGGAGGTAGAAGGCCCACAGGACCTAAGGGAGCACACGGGGACCACACAGGTAAGAAGGGCTCTGTGCTGTCCAGATGCTTGTGAAAGATTCCCTAAGCTCCCCCTTTTTCTGCTGCCAAGATACAAATTTGTGTGATTTTATTGTTATCTGTGGCCATGCTGTTTGAGATAACTGGGGAAAAAATATCCTGAACATAACATGCCGGTTTTGTGCCACTTCAAAGCTTACAACACTGGGTCTCATTTCTGTTTCTTCATCGGGCAGCTGGGAACACAAATCTGCCTACTTTTGTATGTGATGTACGCATCAGCAAAAGTTTTTAAAAAGTTTCTGTAACCTAAGGACAAATGGACACAAAGGGGATCTAATTGCATTTACTAGCACTTGGAAGATTCCTAAAATAAAGTATACTGGGCAACAGGACAAAAGAGAGAAGAACCTATTTAATTATGGCTAAGAATATACAGAGGGCCACAAATGCTTCTGAAAGAGGACTCCAACTAAAAGTACAATGCTGAGGGAAAATAAAGGGGCACCAAGGTTCTTTTTTTTCCTACTATTTTAAGTTCCATTAAGTTTCCTCACTCTCCCACAATGCCTACTCTGACCCCTAAGGAATCTCTGTTTTTGACAATCTAGTTTTTCGAAGTTCCTTTTCACATAGCCATTTTTTACTTTCACGTGATAAATTCATAACAATCACCAACAACAGTACTTACTATAATATATGGTGCCATATACCTACCAAAAATCAGAACCATGTCTATTTTTTTTTCACAATTATAATCCTGACACTATAAAATCAGAAGCAGCAGCTCTGACAGATCTAAAGCGTGTTACAGTAGGCTATGAAAACCTGGGCTAGTTCATCTCTCTGCCTAGGCTTCTTACCCACACAATGCAGAGAGCACTACTTAACACAACTGTTTTACGGATCAAATGTGATTACTATTTGATGCCTCCAGCAACACTGCTTGGCACACAAAAACGTGGGCCACTAATCCTTAAGGTCTATCAAATAATATATTTGCTGAATGAATACACTATTCACAAATTTAAAAATATATAATTTTTAATTATGCCAAAGCTCATATAATGCATATATCCCAGCATATAATTCCCAAGTATATAATTCTATTAAGAGGTTTCAGTTTTACTGACATCCATAGCACTTGACAAAAAAGAAAGACATTCTCTTAGAGTCACTGTGTAGCTGAGCTATAAAGCAGAATGTTCAAACAGAATGACCTGTGCCTCGCTTTCAGAAACAACTGGCTTAAGAAGCTGAATCTGCTCCTGACCAGGGTTTCGGAGAGAATTCGGGGAAGGGTTATAAATTGAAGCAGTGACATTATATTTGGCTGACTGATAAAAGCTGTAGTATTCAAGTCTATTTTCCCCTGAGTTTTCTTGTGGTGTTAATTTATGCTTAAACTGAACAACTTTGTAGATGAGAAAAATGATTAAAACACAAGCTAAAATGAAAAAAGCTAGCAAAATGTCAAAAGCCTCATTCAACTTCTCAACTTCTTGTGTACAAATCACAGACGTTTTTCCTGACACAGAAGCTGCATCAGTCGGTAGGGCACTGTGTTTTTCCAAGTTCAAGTTAACAGAAGATGTCAGCTGTATCTGCACAGGTAACACTGCAGTCGTCTCTAATGGACCACCAAAGGTATTCTCTGGAAAAGATCTACTGGCAGGTGAAGTTCGAATTTGCTCCCAGAAAGTAGCGCTCTCCGTTTCAGTATTTTCCAAATGTTTCCCACTTGTGGTTACTTTATGCCAGGCCATCATTAACGCAGTCCTCTGGTGATGAGTGTGACTCCACGCACAGCCTCAGCTCCGGATCCTACTGTGGGAGATGCAGTGCAATCTGCAATGTCAGTCGGACTAACGGAACGCAGTGCTCTGCCACGCACGGATGGGAGATTCTGACCAAAGATGCTTAGAGTAATGGCTGAAGACGCTAGCCAGTCTCGAAGGCCCCAAAGGTTGTAGCCACATTCCCAAGGATTAGAATTTGCCTGAAGATGAGTCAATGAGGACAAGGGCTTAAGGACCCTTGGATGTAAGTCTGTAAGATCATTAAATGACAGATTAAAGATCTTCAGAGATGCTCCCAGGCTTTCAAATTCATCATTATCAGCGCCGATTATTCCATTTCCACCTAACTAAAGGGATAGTAAATCTTTTTACAAACTAAATGTATCAGAATTGATTCTTTCTAAATCATTTTGATTTAGGACCAAATATTTAAGGTGATTAATTATACTAAATTCATTCCTAGTAATATTTCTAATCGTGGAATTTTTCAAGAGGAGAGAAACTAAGTTCTTTCAAAGCAAAGGACTGCAGTCCTTCAATACGGTAACAAGACAGTCTTCTCGGATGCTCAAACACTTCAAAAGTACTTGATGGTACTTTTGCTAAGTTATTCCTTTCCACAAGCAAGCAAAGCTTCCAAGATGCTAAGAGCCTGAGTCTGGTATTCTCAAAGTACCTCTGAGTGATAAATCAAGTGCCCAAAGAGCAACCTTCCCAACAAAGAGACTGAGGCCATATCCCCCCCTACCCCCCGCAGATTTAAGTACTGAACAGAAACTAAATCGCTGAATTCTTCGTCTTGCAACAAAACACACTTGATGTGGCAGTAAATATAAACGATAAAGATTTAAAAGTCCCTTAAGCATTCCTGTATCTAAGCATTTCTATAAAATTACCATTTAGATTTTAAAAAAAGATGTATCAATTGAACAAAGGCTTTAATATACTAATGTGCAATGTCAGAATTATGCAAATACAAAGCTGTAAGAGAATGAAGCCCAATTAATTTGCTTTCAGTTATATATTATTTCCAATCAGATACAGAGAAATTGTATCTTCAGAAAAGTCCTTAGGATTACTTGAGAGGCCTGAGTCTCAGCAGGTAACTTATCTACCAGTGCACAGCTGGCAAACAGATTCACATCCACGTATGTCTTTAAGGATTAGTAATACAAGAAAACAAGTAACAAGCAGAAATGGTCCTGAACAAGCAGGGAAACCATAATCCAAAATTCCTGTTCTTGATTTCTCTCCTCTTATCAGAACTGACTCTAAAAAGGGAATGAAAAACTTAAATGGTCAAAAGTTCATATGATGAAATTTTTATAATACTAACATGTACTGTATTTTATTAGGATTAGCCTAATAACACATCATAAATCATACTACGATGAGATACGAAGAGAATATAAAAACAATATTTGGCATATAGCCCAGCATTATCAATATCACTGGTTACTAAGCCGGTTATTGCCTGAAAAAAGGATAATTCAAGCTTAATAAACTGTAAATGTCTGCTAAGTTAATTAAAAATATTCATTGTAACAAAGGTGATAAATCATGTAGGAATATACTCTTTGAATATAAGTCCTTTTATCAATTTAAAATTTAATATTAACTAGCATTATAATTAATGAAAACTACACATTCCTGAGAGAACATTTACGTTAGAAGCTCATTTTTAAATAAATAATCTTACCAAGAAGAGGAAATTCACATCATTAGCTTTCAGTTACCAAGGAAAGGTTTTCTTTTGCAGCCTGAAGAACGACATCTCTGAACGCTGCTGCTCTGAGGCTCTGCTCCTGACCTCCACTTTTGTTTTTTTAAAGTCACAGTTTTCTCAGGAAACACCACTCTTCACACTGGTTCCTCTACAGTCAGTGTGTGAAACAGAGGTTGCCATGGATACAGGAAACTGAGTGGCAGGAAGTAATTTTATCTGTATTTCCAATGTATTGTTCAAAGGAAATCTTGGGAATTTATCTTTTCAGAACGCAGTTTTCCTGATGCAAACCTCTAAACATCATATGCAATCTTTCAAAAAGTACCTAAATTTTCAGATATTCCCCTTATCTGTAACTCCTTTCAAATAGATCGATCTCTTTTTAAAAAATTGCAGATACGAGAGGCAAAGACACATTTTGAGGGTAAGACTTTTCTAATGAAGAGATATGGTTGCAAAGAAGCCCTAAATGAAACGGAGCAAACACCTAGCACCACCTTCAAGCACAACAAACATCCATCACACATGATGCAAAAGGAAAGTGCATCGCCACAGGAAAACTGCTCTAATTAATTTGCAGAGCAATATCCAAAATAAAGCCACTGGTGCTAAAGACGATCCAACGGATTGTATCAAACCACTACAGAAAGAGCCAGAGTTCCACACAACATATCAACCGTGATAATCAAACTTTCCACTTATGTGAAAAGTAATTCCAGGACACACCTATTTTTCAAACTACAATGAGTAACAGGTTCTCGGCACCCAGCCTGCTAACCTTACCGTCCGCACTGCTTCCAACTGCTGTGGTCTCTTGTGCTGATGTTCTGCCCCACCGTGCCGGAAGGCAGGCAGCTGATGGCCATCTATCAGTGTACAGATCATGTTAATGTCTACTCTCACACAGGCATCAAGTGATTCAAACCAATTTCCCATACAACACCGCACCCGTTCCCAACTTGAGAGGAGCATATAGTCAAAAAGGGAGAGTAAAGCAGACAAAGCAAGACAGTGTATGAGACTGGAGCTTTTTGTTCACAATGATCTAAGCTAATTTACTGACTGAAAACTTTATCTTCCAGTAAGTATTCTCAACATTTTCCAGATATCAACTCCTTTTGATTCACCCAGCAACCATGAAATACTGTTTAACAAACAAGAAAAATGAAAGACAAAGAAATTATCAGTATTTTCTTCTTACATAATTTATGATAAAAAGTATTCAAAAGTGTTTTTTTTTCCTGAAGTGTTTGCTAATAAATGAAACTTGACAAAAGAAAACTTAAATGTTGAACCACATGCCTTTAAAAAGTGGTTTCAAAAATTTTTCCTAAAACAACTCTCTAATAAAGAAAATGCTACAGAGTAGGAAATAGGTTCTTGAACTGCGGTTTCTTTCAGAGGTATTTTAGGGGACATCACTGTGCCGTAACAGGTTAAGCCGATGCTTGTGACACCGGTAAGCCTATCAAAATGCCTGCTTGAGTTCTAGCTATCTGTTTACTGGCAATCCAGCTCTCTACCAGAGACTGGGCAACAGCTGGTTTAAGTACTTACGGCCCCATGCTCAAAACAAGGGAAAGCATGAGCATCCAAATTGAAAAATACATGCATTATCAATAAAACAAGAGAAATGTGGGCTGCATGGAGAGCCTGAATTACAACCCCTTTTCAGAAACCAAATTAACAATTACAATCTTTCTTTAAGCTTCATTGTAGATTCTTGGTAACATTTTGAATGAAGGAAAGGAGGTTGACCACAGATTTTTTAAGATTTATTTTTATTGGAAAGTCAGATACACAAAGAGGAGGAGAAACACAGAGGGAGATCTTTCATCCGCTGATTAGCTCCCCAGGTGAGCACAGTAGCTGGAGCTGAGCTGAAGCCAGGAGCCCACAGCCTCTCCCGGATCTCCCTTGTGGGTGCAGGGTCCCAAGTCTAGGGCCATCCCCGACCATCACCCGCAGGCCACAAGCAGGGAGCTGATTGGGAAGCTGGGCTCTTGGGATCAGAACCAGCACGTTTATGAAATCACGGCATGCGGTAGGTGAGGACCTCAGCCACTTTTGATGCCCAAACTGCCCCAGCGATGGCCAGTGGGAGTTCCCACACGCTGTCTCCTTCTGGCAGGACTTCCTTCTTCCGAATACTTCCCTGCTTTCTGGCCTTCACAGGTTAACTTTGTGTTCTTCACTTCACACCTAGAAAGTACTCTCTTGTTTCTTTTCCTGCAAAGTCATTTCCAACTTGATGGAGAGGGAAAACAAATTTTTCGAAAACAACAAAATATTTTACTGACAACTGAAACTGACTGTCGTGCCCATAGGGGTGCTCATATGCACTGTTACATAGCAGCACTGCCACTGAAGGAAGATCCAGTAGTGATTTTCCAACGACTACTTTAAGCTCCATGCATCTGAGCACCTCGCCTTTGTTAGTCGCCATTATGGTTTCATGACTTCTGAATTGAAAAATCTCCGTATCTGTTCAATAAACACACTTTATATATGAAAGAGAGTGGTTTTATTGTCTTGTTTATAAACAACTAAATAAAAATTCTAGATATGTGGCCAAAATAGTTAGAAGTACTTCACTTTAATACTGAGACCTCTAGTAGCTATCTTTTACCTTAAACAAACTGGGAAAATGTACGAGAATGTCTCAGAAACACTAAAATTAGACTACAGAGTGTGAAAATTTGATAAAAATGCCATTACCTGGCTTTTGATAACTGACTTTGGGTTATAATTTCAATTCATTTAATTCAAAGGGCTCAGCAATGTCCATCTCTACAGGCTTACTGGGAGGACCAAGTAAGCTATATATGATAAACTTGACAAAAGAAAACTTACACAATTACACAACTTACACAAGGCACCAAGTCTGCGTCACACTGCTTGGATTTCCTCTGTGTTGTGTCTTCCCCACTCACACCCCTCCCGAATGAACACAGCAGAGGCTCCAGGGAAGCATATGATGCCTTTGCACAAAAGAGTAAGATGACTGACAGTAGACAACCACTGTTGAATGATTATACTCATTCAACACTCTGATTAGCATTATCTATACCAGGGTCTCCAATTTATCTTCAAACCAGGCCACCAATGATAACTGATGAAACTGCCTACCGTTCGAATCTCAAGAAAACTGGGGCCCCAAAAGGGATACTGGCCCCATCCCCACGAACAGCAGGTAAATCATATACTTGCGAACAAATCGAGCTCTCCCCTCTCTATCCTACAGCATCTTTTCTCCCTGGAACTTGTGAATGAAGTCAAAAGCAGAAACTCAAGGAAAATAATCTCAACAAATAAGATGTTCCTCAAGTCAGAAATGTTAAACTTAACATACACACACATTACCTTCATAGAAAAAAGTCAGGAAGTGCAAAGGATTCCTAACACAACCCCTAAGCACGCTGTTCCACTGTGTTCTTTCTGTTGCAGCTAACAAATGTAACACTCACTCGGCTCTAAGGCCTCAGCCACTTTGACCCAATACCTCCTTCTCATTCAGAAACATCTCTTCATCTCACTGTAAAACACTCTGAGGTCCTAAAACATAACAGCAATCTTACTTCACCACATTTTTGGGGTTCTTGGGAGGGGGTGAGAGATTTAAAAGAAGCTTACTGTCCCCTGTGGTAGTGGGTGATTAATTAAGGGTATCTGGTAAATGTAATGTCACTACCCAATAAGAAACAGTTTGCCAGGAAAATTTACCTAACTTGCAGACAGAGCACAATTCCTGGATGTCAGGAAGACACTGAAGATATAGTTCCCCAAGCATTCACCAGCTTTGTTAAGCAGCTCTGACACAAGACACAAAGAGCTGTTGTTCTAACTGCTACTCATTGCAACAACGATTTATCCTAAAGGTAAAGAGGAACCACGGTGCCCTGGCAGGTAACAGCAATTCAAAAATACTGCTGAATATTTGTAACATTAGTTCCTTCAGGCTGACAATAGAAGAACAGTATTTTAGTTACCCTGTTTCAAATTATTTAAAACTGAATTTGTACTGGAAATTATAAACAAAATGGACTAATAACATTCAAATCCTAAGGTAGGAGAATAGAAGCACTTCAAATTATGTAAAAACTGTGCCCCCCTTCTTGGATACTGGGTTTCCAGAGAATCACCAGAAGCATTAAAAAAAAGAAAGAAAACTTGACAAATAACTATAATCATTTAATTAAAAATCACCAAGCCCAGGAATTAACAACTTACCTCTTAGCTAATAAAACTGCTTTGGACAAAGATTACAGCAGCGAACATGAAACCACTGCTACCAACAGGTCATCTTTCTGAACCTACACTTACTATCTTTGCCTTCTGTTAGATTACAGGTAACAAAATTCAGTTTGTGACTATCAAGCAGTGCAAAAGTATGCCTCAGAAGAAAACCAGTCCATGAATTCTTAAGAATCAAAATAAATTCACGTTAGACCAGAACCAAAATAAAACATTTAAAAGCTGGAAAGAGGTTTGAATTGAAAATTATCAGAAGCAGTACTGACTGTAAGCTGCATTACATTACTTGCAAAGAAAGAAAAATCATATACAATTCAAAGCAAGTACTTTCCAACTTGTAAGGGCATCGATTCTCTTTGTAAGGCACATATTCAAAGGGCAGCTGGGAAAGGGACCTCAACATCTGAAGTCCTAGAACTTCAAAGCCATCTCACTCACTCATGCTGCTGTAAACAACCTTCCTAGTGGTTTCCTAGTCAGCACTCTGCCCCTTCCCAAAACTTATAAGAAGATAACACAAACTAGGTTGAAACCAGTTTCAGCTGTATTCTGAGGGGAAAATGCCAACAGAAAGATCAATCGCCACAAAACAACGTTAGATCCAGATTCCTGAGTGCAGGGCTGCATCTGCTTCCCTCCTGAATCCCACTGTCTAGCATGCCACACACTCACTCAGCCTCTGAGGAAAAGAGGCAAAAACCTAACAACGGCACCTTCTGCTGCTTGGATTCTGTGCTGAGCACACTGTAGGGTTCAAAATACTTTCTCAGGCAAGGCTTGGTCCTCTTGTTTCACAATGGCAAAGTAGAGCAGGCCAAGCCATTGTGGCTTGAGTGGGATAAGCCACCGACTCTGACACTGGAATTACATGCCTGAGTGTTGACTTGAGTCCCAGCTATTCCACTTCCAATCTACCTCCTACATAATGCACTTGGGAGGCTCAAATACGGAGGCCCCTACCACCCAAGTGGAAGATCAGATGGAATTCTTACACAGTGGACCACTGGGCCACTAACTCTCAGCTCCAGCTGTCTTGGAGTCAAGCATCAGACAACTCCTGACACACAATACCCCAGAGAGCTCTGAAATGATGAACAATAGCCACCACCAAGTCGGTCCTCCTGGGCTGATCCAGTACGTCCCATGGAAACCACAGTAAGGCACAGCTCAATCACCTTCCCCCACCAACTTCACTTCTATCTCATGACGGACACTGTTGGTTCCCCATGGGGCTGTGAGCAATGGGGTAGTGTGGCGTGTCCCCTCCTCTCAGAACTGTGAGGAATAAACTATGGCAGTCACTTCCTGTTCTCTTGACCTCCTTCACCTGAATCATAATAAAAACTACATTTTGAAAACCCTCAGGAGTTACCTACTAAGGTATTAGTAGAATGCCTACTGAGCAAACAAAGGAACAAATAAGCAAAAAATGAATGCTGGCAGCTAACACTACATCAGAAAATGAAGACCTGAATACTGACATTTGGGGAAAGGAAAAAAAAAGCAAGCTGGTAAGATGTTAGTTTTTGCCATGGTTGCAGGCTGAGACAGGGAAACTTCCCAAAAGCCCTTCGCTCCTGCGCAGGCACTGTTTCCCTGCACTGAAGAACCTTCACTGACAGCTGACCCAGTGCCCAGTTTCCATGAGGGTCCACTCTAGGCTGGGACATGTGTAGAGCCCCATGTGCTCACTGCAGGGGCTCAGGAAGCAATCTGCCAGATACGTGATGCTTTGGCATGCTGATCAATTTTATCCAGAGTCAACCAAAAAAAAAATAATAATAATAATACAGTAGCACAATCAAGGTCCCCTGGCCTTCCCTCACTTCCCTTCTGCTGCTAGCAGAGGCTTTCTGCATAGCTCTGTCTGAAGCCCTGGCTGTCACAGAAACTAGGTCTCGTCCCCCATCTGCACTTCCATAAACCAACTTCTTATCACAGCAAGAGATGGAAATCTGTTTAAAAAAACAAAAAACAAACAAACAAACAAAAAAAACCACATCTGAACTGACTTACATTACACGCACAGACCGAATCCTGACAAATCACTGTCCATTCTGCAGGCCAAGCACTGGGCCGTAGGCCACCATGCTCCTAAGCCCACTGAGGACCCTCAACAATCTTCTACTATCCTCCTAACACCTGTGTGAATTCCTCAGTCTTCTCTCCACCTACAGGAAAAGGGTACATTCTGTATAAAGTTCTGACAGTGGGTAATCACATTAGGTGATAACCTCAGCATTGTGCTTGCTACACATTAATAAAGCGGAATGTCTTTTTTGGCATTTTACCAGTCTTTGGTGTCTATTCTAGCAAATGTGCTAATGACAAAAGGAAATTCCCATCACCGCTACGCCCCCAGCAAGGGTTTCACTGCCCCAGGACTTCTCTGTGACTCTTAACATTATTAATATGTGACAAGTGGGGCAACAGCAAAACAATCTTGATTTTTTTTAACTTGCCCCCATGACAGAGTAGATTATCTGTAACAATTTGTATACAGGGAACCTAGCAAGTGCATAATTCACCTCCAGGCACAAAAAGGCCCTCCCTCCTCTCCCTGGCTTCCTCCAGCCTACGACTGACTCTTCAGTGTTGCTACTCCCACTTGCCCAGTGCTCTCCAAGCAGCCTCCTTAAGGCTGACACACGGACGGGCTTCTCAGCCACTCTGGGCACGCTGAGCCTTCAGCCACAGTCGTAGATCTTCTTGGAATGTACATCGTCATCCCACAGCTCAACCAGTTTCCACTCTTGGTTATTTCCTCAGGAAAGTCTCTGGACTTCCCAACCTGTATTAATTCCAATTAACTGATATTTGGTTGACAATGGTGGCACCATTAACACTTTCTTTTTCGAGATGTCTACAGTTTGCTCCCTTCCATTCCAATGGGCTCCCGAAGAAAAAAGGAACCACACTTGTCCCCAGACAGCACTCATATCGCATGTCTTCCAGGCCCCAGCTCAGCCTCTCTTGCCCAGAGGACACAGGTTGAGCGCAGCTATGGATATACTCCATTCATTAGACAGTGAAAACACATTTGCAAATTTTTTTTTTAACCTAGAGATTTGTGAGATAGTATCCTGCTTTGTAAAATGTAAAATTCTCTACATTTGAGGATAGTGTCATGGCATCATGGCAGTGTAGGCTAAGCCTCAGTCTCTTGACACTGGCTTTCCATACGGATGCTGATTTGTGTCCTGGCTGCTCCACTTCCAATCCTGCTCTCTGCTTATGGCCTGGGGAGTAGCAGAGGTTGGCTCGAGTCCTTGGGACCCTGTATCCACAGGAAAGACCTGGAAGAAGCTCCTGGCTCCTGGTGTCTGAGTCATGGCAGCACGCGTCATTCTCTGCTAATATCAGCATCCCTGTATCTAAAAGCAACACTACCCAGCACACAGACAAGCTACGGCCAAAAGCAGTGTTAATCAAAATGCTTTTTTTTTTTTTTTTAATTTCCATGCTGCTTTAAAGTAACAAACGGAATAAAACAAAAGCCCTCACCTGTTATCAGACGGCAGGAGAGACAGCAGAGCCAGAGCTGAAAGCTTCCTCCTCTCGGGCTGCGTGATGTTGTCCATCCGATCCACCCACATCTCAATCATGTTTCCCAAAAGCTGGTCCATCTGGAAAAAAAAAATAAGAGGCGAGAACCCAAAATATTTGAATCATTATAATTATAGGTAGTGTTAAAAACTAGATTTTCCTGCTACACTTAAAACTCAATTCCAGCAATCAGAGAACAAAAATAGCTGAATCTGGAGTAAGTCTTTACATTCATAAAAGACAATATAAGCAAAAATCAAAAGCTGACTACAATGATTCCTACCAGGTAAACAGATTGGCTTAAAAGCTGTACGCAGCTAAAGAATGATTCAAGTACATTCATTTAAAATACTAATCAATATTATTCAAAATTGTTGACCTGTAAGTACAGATTAGAGTTTATTCAGTGGGGTGATAATTGTGTAATACTCTAAAATTTGCTAGACTGGTTTGGTGCTACTGTCACAGTAATGTGAAGGTTGCGACCTCAACCTGCAGAATTTCACAAGAAAGCAAGTGACTCACTTCCTACAACATTTATAAGCTATATCAAAAATAGGCAAAACACATAAATATAGAATTAGTGTTATGGTTAATTTCATGCTGACTTGGCAAAAGTAGATTACTCAACAGTTTGTCTAAACACTAGTTAGTGTAAAACTTAATGTGGGAATATTTTGTAGCTATGCTTGGTAACTACAATGAGACGACTTTAAGGAAAGATTACCATAAATGAGGGCGTCCTACATCCAAACAGTAAAAAGCAAAACACTGAGCACGTCTGCAAAAAATTGGACAACTGAAACAAATGCTGGTGACCTCTTAGCAAACCATAAAGCAAAAAAACATTGTATAGTATTTCCAAAGAACTATTTTCCAAAATCAGTCTTTTTCCTATTCACCATACTGAAAAGCTAATGGCTTCTCTCTATTGTGACAGACATAAAAAACTAGTCATGTTTAAAAAGAATTGATTAAGTAAATAGCTACAACACGAAGACTGGTTCTAGTGTTTTGCTATACTAAGCTTTAAAAAAATAGTAAGTGGGGCCCAGAACGGTAGCCTAGCGGCTAAAGTTGCCTTGCAGGCACCGAGATCCCATATGGGCACCACTTCTAGTCCGTGCAGTCCCACTTCCCATCCAGCTCCCTGCTTGTGGCCTGGGAAAGCAGTCGAGGATGGCCCAAAGCCTTGGGACCTTGCACCTGCATGGAAGACCTGGAGGAGATTCCTGGCTCCTGGCTTGGCTCAGCTCCAGCCATTGCTGCCACCTGAAGAGTGAATCGGAGCATGGAATATGTTCTTCTTTGTCTCTCCTCCTCTCTGTGTATATGACTTTTCAATTAAAAATAAACAAATCCTTAAAAAATAATAGTAAGTGATAAGCAGTGGTGGCATCCCAGCATCCAGTACGGATAAGCTTCAGCTGTCGGCTACCCCACTTTCGACACAGCTCGCATTAACGTGAATGGGAAACACGGCCTAACTAGTTGCGCCCCTACTAAACTTTTCTTCAACATTATCTCACCAGTTAAAATTAATAAGCTAGGGGCCCAGTGCAGTGACCTAGCAGCTAAAGTCTTTGCCTTGAATGCACCAGGATCCCATATAGGCACCAGTTCTGGTCTCAGCAGCCCTGCTCCCCACTCCCCATCCAGCTCCCTGCTTGTGGCCTGGGAAAGAACTTGAGGATGGCCCAAAGCCTTGGGATAATAACCCATGCGGGAAAGCCAGAGGAGGCTTCTGGTTCCTGGCTTTGGATTAGCTCAGCTCCAGCTACTGCAGTCACTTACGGAATGAATCAATGGATGGAAGATCTTCCTCGCTGTTTCTCCTCCTCTCTGTATGTCTGACTTCCTAATAAAAACTAATCTTTAAAAACATATTTTAAAAAATCAATAAGCTAATGGAATTCTCTCCTATCCATCAAACAAGCCTGGGATCCCCTATAAGATTAGTCTAATGTTAGCTGCATATATTCTAAAATGTTTACTTTCTTACACTCAATTTCCTTAAATTACCTATTTCTTTCTATTTTTTTTTTTTTTTTTTTTTTTTTATTGGAAAGGCGGATATACAGAGAGGGGGGACAGAGAGGAAGATCTTCCGTCCGATGATTCACTCCCCAAGTGAGCCGCAACGGGCCGATACTATGCCGATCCGAAGCCAGGAGCCTCTTCCGGGTCTCCCACGCGGGTGCAGGTTCCCAAAGCTTTGGGCCGTCCTCGACTGCTTTCCAGGCCACAGGCAGGGAGCAATTAGAACGCCCATATGGGATCCCGGGCGTGCTAGGCGAGGACTTAACCACTTTACCTATTTCTTTCAATAACATATCTGAAGATTTCACAATTTCCTTATTCCAGAAATATTAAATATATTTCATCTACTTCAGCTTACAAATCAATGTCAATAAATTGAAACAATCTTATCTGATCATAGAAATAGTCTCCAGTTATCAACTCACTTAAGAATGTTTAAAACTTATCCATTATTTCAGTATCTAATAAACTTTCTCTGAAATTTTTCCACAATTATTAGGAAAAATCTCTCAATCTATGGCATTAAAATAAGTTCATTAAAAGAAGACAACAAAAAGGGTACAAGATTAGAACTATCTCTATATCAAATTATGTACCATTAACAAGAAACAGCGAGCATAAATCATATTGTATTGATGACTATGTAGAATAAAATTATCTATTCTGGGCAAGAGTAAGCTCTGAGAGTTTCATTTGCTTTTTACACATTTTCTTTTCATTCTTCTAACCCACATTATGAGCATAACAAGTTATTAAAAATCAATATAACATTTTGAACATTACAAAAAATTTTTGCAAGGATTCATTACTTCATCAGTCTCTCACAAATCTATATTCAGGTAAAGAACTCCTTAAAATTAGCTGATTCTTACCTCCTGATTAAATTTTTGTGCCATCTCATTGAGCAGTGAAGAAAAGAAACTAGTATTTTGTAGCAGGACTCGACCCATAACACCAAGATACGTGGACATCACCACAGGATACCTCTGAGCAACCAACACATAGCAACTGTTACATGATGTTACAGTACAGATTATAAAACTATTATAAACAATCACCAATACTGCAATGATCACCAAAGCTATAATAATATTTTCCTTCAAACTGCTTCCCATCAGAATGAACCGGCATCAATGCCCAAATCCTAATTAGTTAACCAAATATGTATTACAATAAGATCATATGTACTAAATACACAGACCTGAATTACATTTGCATCATATATATATAATAGAGAAAGAAATATTCATCAAAAGTAAATTATTTTAAATATTCCTAATATATAGGAATACATCCATTTAGAAGTGAAATTAGAGCAGTGATTTCACACATTCATTCTGTAACACTATGAGAGGCCTTCAGATATCTGTAGATACTGCTTATTATGGGGAAAAAATCTTTCTATGAACAGTACCTTCAACATTAGCACTAATTCTCCCCCGCTAGTCACAAGAGTTAAGCACTGAAATTAAGCCGTAAGCCATTGCTCCACCTCAAATCACTGTGAGTGGGTACACACTCCACACGTGATAAAGATAAAATGCCAAAGAAAGTCAACAATGTCCTGAGTGGAGAAAGAAAAGGCAAAGATGCGTAACTCTCCTGAAAATTTACTTAATTTTGAAATGATAAGACCCTCTTTACTTTTACACTTTATAATTTAAAAAATATATATCAAATGGCTTGTTGAAGCATAATAATTAGAATGAGAACTCTGGAGTCCAACACTATATTATTTAAGAGAAATCTTACCTCCCCTTCTAGGATACCCCTGAAAACACAGGGTAAAATTGGTTGAAACATTTGCGGGCCTAACACTGGGTTCACTTTAAGAGCATTTTCCACAACCTAAAAATCAGAAAGAGAAATTGGTAACATTCAATACTACCAAGTCAGCTTCATGGAAATCACAGGCAAAAAAAAAAATTTACTACACTAAATATTAGACATCAAACCTGAGAATATGAGGAGGCTCTTAAAAAGTTGAGAAATGTATATTAACTTCTAATTTCATTGGCCATGAGGTTTTTCAAACCCCATACATACATAATGCAGTATTCAGGTACTACACATAGTTTACAAGACAAAACACTAAAAAAAACTGCACGCTGATAGAAAGTGTAGAATTTAGAGCTATAATCACATTGTGACAACTTAAGGTATCACACTGTCAATATAAGAACTGTATTACTTTAAACAACTAACTTGAACTTTAAGCAACTATTAGAGAATGTTGCAATTGCACAAAAAAAAAAAAGCAAAAGGTATTTTTAAATTATTTACTGTTAATAACAAAAAAGAAAGCTGTGGACATTTCTCATTGCCCTCAAACAAATCTACACTTAATTTCATTATGAAACTGGAGAAAAGGATTTTGGCATATTTACAGCATATTTAAGTATAAATCACCCTATTTTAGTTATATGGATTATTTGTTGTATTAACATACATGAAAGCTTGTATTAGAAAAAATATATATACTTCCATTTTTATTTGAAAGACAGAGAGACAAGAGACAGAAAACAGAAAAGAATGCCCCATCTCTCTGGTTACCTCTAACAATGCCCACAAGAGCCAGAGCTAAGCCACGCCTGAGTCAGGATCCGGGATCTCAACTCAGGTTTCCCACACAGGCAGGAGTTCCCAAGCAGTTGAGCTATCAATGTCTGCCTGCAGGGTCTGCAGAAGGCTGGAACTGAAGGGAAGGCATATGCAAACCGAGGCACTGATTCAGCATTCAACACCTGCCCCCAAAATTACTCTTATACGATGTTTCTTCTGTAAGAACATAAGCAAGCACAAAATTCCTGTAAAGGCTAAGTTTTTGTTTTTGTTTGACTTTTTAGGGAGAAAGGTCAAGAGCTGCAGGTCAACAGGCTTCCAGGCCAACAGTTTGAGAGGTAGGGAGACTCCAGCCAGCAGGGCTGTGGACACGTCCCGCACCAGTGCAGGTCGGCTTCTCTGATGATTTGCATACCTTTGTCCAGATCTACGACTGGGCTTCTGGGTGACACCAGCCTTTACTAGGTACCACTATTCCATACACAGAGGATTTCAGCATTTCCAGTGTCTGTTCGTTATGTGCAAATGAGACCCTCTAAAGATCATGGGCGATTAGAAACATCCCCATGCCTTTTGAAACCTCTTCAAGCTAAGAAATAACTACTTTGCAAATAACTACGAGGTGCACAAATAACAACATTCAATTTTGAGCAAGAAGTGAAATCAACATCCAAAGGCAATATTCATATTAAGAAATGTTAAAATTTTACTGTAGGGGCGAAATTTCACCTACAGACTAAAATCAATGAAATTTTTTAAAAGTAGAATTAAACATGAATCCAACAAACTTGAATTTCAATAAAAATATATCTGTGAGGAAAGATAAACATGGCAGATTTGTCAATGAACATGTCATCAGTGTCCGTGTCTCCCACGAGGGTGCAGGGTCCCAAGGCACTGGGCCGATCTCTTCTGCTTTCCCAGGCCATAAGCAGGGAGCTGGGGGAGAAGTGGAGCAGCCAGGACATGAAGCACTCAAATGGGAGCCAGGCATTTATTTGCAAGGTGGGGATTTGGCCACCGAGCCATGGCTCCAGGCCCTCAAGCAGAATCTTAATCACTGTACCATACACTAACAACTATTTTTTTTTAAATATAAGAACTGTACAAATCTCCAAGATCTAAACTGACTAAATGCAGCAGCGCATCCTCAAAGATCTAAGCCCGCCCTTTCCCTTACCACTAGACGGCTTTCTTCTTCCATTCCTTCTTACTTAGTTACTGAAATCACTTTAAAGCTGCATATAGAGATAGTACTCCAACGTACGGTTACATATGTTTGGCACCTCCAAACATCAGTTGCCAATCACTTTCTAGCAGTATTTGCTGTTTCTTAGAAACACAACTTTAGCACCTTAACTTTCACTCATCTGACTTCTGAATACACTTGCCACACAATGTGTTTCTAAAATCCCTCTGGAAAACACAGACTTCTCTGCACTTAGCAATTAATTTTCCCACCTGAGGTCTTTACTGCACCCGATGTGGCTAAAAGCCTGAATCCTTGTCAGAACACATCTATGTTTATGTCATCCTTCCAGCACTAACTAGCCAGGTGATCTTGGAAGAGACTTATCTCCCCGCGATGTGATTTCTCATATGCTCAAAAGAGGGCAAATATTCCCAGTATCATGTTTATGTCAGAATTAAATAGATATTATGTTTGGTACTTAGAAACAGACACAGAAAATGAAAATATTAACATCTATCTTTTAAGATTTACTTATTTGAAAGACATTATGTCCACACACTGGCTCACTTCCCAAATGCCCACAACAGCCAGGACCAGGTCAGGCTAGAGCTGAGCGGGAGCCAGGAGCTCCATCCAGGCCTCCCACTCGGGTGACAGGAACTCAATATGTCAGCCATCATCTATTGCATCCCAAGCACATTACCACGGAGCTAAGATCAGAAACTAGAGGAGCCAGAACTCAAAGCGGAACATGGGCCTCCCGGATGGTGACTTAGTCAACAAGCCCCAACTGCAGCCCCTGGTATTGCTGTCTGTCTCTGAGTATCTATTTCCTTCTCTTTCAGACTCCACCTTTCAAATAAAAATTAAGTAAAAAAAATCATTTTTTGAAAGTTAAAAAAAAATGCTTGCTATGGCCATGACAGAAAGAATTTTGAAACTGACATGTCCATGTGTTCCCATCTATGTTGAGAATTTAAATGTATTTTTAGAACATAATTATATCCATCTAGATAAGTCATTCCAAGTCACAGAACATAATAAAGCCCATTTCTGCTCTAATCATTTGCTCCTAGAGGAGGCAGAGTGGCCCCTCTATCCAAGCTTCCTAACAATGTACTTGTCTGCCTCACAGAACAAAAAGTGCCTTGCCATACTATTATCAATGAGTCAAAGATATATTTAAAATTTTATATAGCACACTATATTAAGAAACAGTACCTAAGAAATGTCAAAACTGAAACAATGAGCTATCATAAAAACTATTATCATAACCATACTTAAGTTCTGAGAACAGGAAATTAAAATTTGGATAATTATGAGAGTCTTCACCAAAGACATTAAAAGCACCACAGTTTTCAGATATTTCATTAAATAAAAACACTTTATCTTTGAAAGCTATTTTTCATTTACTAATAAAATCTTTCTTCTGAGATTTCAAACCACATATGCAGACTTAGCTATAGAATTATTCACAAAAATTTATTAAACACATATCTCCAATTTTTATCTGCAGTATTCATTTATATCCTAGTGATAATCTGCCTGTGCAAACTATAAAGAAATTGGCTTAATTTATAACTTGTATCAAACATCACAAATACTTTATATTTCAGTAAATTATTTTTATTGAATCATTCAACCAAAAAAATTACATATAACTAAGGCAGATAAAATGAAATTCATGGGCCCAGCGGCATAGCCTAGCGGCTAAAAAGTCCTCGCCTTGAAACTACCCCGGGATCCCATATGGGCGCCGGTTCTAATCCCGGCAGCTCCACTTCCCATGCAGCTCCCTGCTTGTGGCCTGAGAAAGCAGTCGAGGACGGCCCAAAGCTTTAGGACCCTGCACCCGCGTGGGAGACCTGGAAGAAGCTCCTGGATCCTGGCTTCGGATCGGCACAGCATCGGCCGTTGCGCTCACTTGGGGAGTGAACCATCGGATGGAAGATCTTCCTTTCTGTCTCTCCTCCTCTCTGTATATCTGACTTTATAATAAATAAATAAATCTTAAAAAAAAAATTTAGGATCCTTTTCCTATATAAACAGCTCATATGTAAATATTCACAGAACAAGGCACAGATTTACTAAACTTTACATAACAGAAACATTTATACCAGCATAGGAGAGAAATTCTAAAAACACACACACAGAGGAAAAAATCCACAAAGACAAAGACGTAGCAATCTCCTCTCGTTTCGATCACTCACACACTGCCAATCACTTTTTCTGGAATGGTCAGAATTACGTCCAAAGGGTCAATCCCTTGTTATCTTCTCCACCTCCAAAGAACAAAGCAAAAGATGAAGCTGAGATAGTGTGAGACATCAAGTCCTCAACACACACACACACACACACGCTGCCAAATGTCATTTTGATAAAGGCATAAATGTAATTTTTTTAAACGACAAAAGCATTTTATTAAGGTCTGACTACTGTTACTTGTAAGCTTTGAAGCTTGGAAAATACTTAGAAATCAGTAGGAGTGGGTACTGACAGTGAAGTGGCAGTAGCACCAGGCCCGAATACCCAGGGTCTCAGCGTGACCCACAGCTGCCTGATTCAAGCCCCTCACAGTCCATATGCTTATTTTATATTCTCATCCTCCTGCAAATTCCTGAGAGAAACTAAGCAGCCTACAAAATCCAATGGTAACACTTGTTATAGTCTCACTCGATTTAACGGCTTTTTGGATTAGCATATTATTTTGGTTTAAATTTCTCTTGTGAATCAAATTCAAAACAAAACTAGAATGCTAAAAAAAAAAAAAAGGTGCTAAACACCCTTTCCCAGAAAATGAAAATTAACCAAAACTATTCTTATTTCAACTCCAGAAATAAGTACCTTTCTAAATTATAAGCACGCTCTTAAAAATTCTACTTTAATATATTGTTGCTACATTAATAGGACATAATCCATCTAAGACACTGAGATGAATAATGCTCATTTCTTCAACCCCACATAAAAACAGTTGAAAGATTGATCAATCAATTGATTCCATCTGTTGGCTCACTCCCCAAATGCCTGCTGTCATAGCAAGGGCTAGGCCAGGCTGAAGCCAGGAGCCTAGGGCTGAATCCCAGTCTTTCCCCTGGGAGACCCAAACCCGAGTCACCTGCTGCTTCCCGGATGCACTAGCAGGAAGCTGGAATGGAAACCAAGAAGTTGTTGAAGTTACAGTATTTCACACTACCGGCCTGATTCTCCTTCCCAGGGTTACCAGAATCAGCAAACACAAACACTGCATTTCATGTGAGAAACCTAACCTCTTCTCAACATTCAAGACTCAGCGTACATCTCAACTTCCTTTTCTAAAAACAAATAAATAAATAAATAAACAAACAAACAAAAGAGTGTTCTTCCAAATGCTGGGTTAGATGCCCACTTAGACACTGCCAGAGGCAGCATAAGCAGAGTTGACAGCGGCTCCCATGTGAAATGCTCATGAAAATCATCCTTGGAACATTTTTACAGATTATGCCCAACTCACATTTAGAAAAAACTAACCAGGAAGTTTTGAGATGCTACTAAGCCCAGGCCACTGTTTATGCCACACTAGCTAGGTTCGTTACATACTTCCTCCTTCCAAGAGACAGAATTACTTTGGAGTAGAAGAATGTGGCTTTCCTATCACAGATATGCAATAGAAGAAAGCAATGAATACCAATAGAGCAGAAAGCAAACCAGACCCATGAACTAAACCTGACTCACTGGATGGTATCATAAATCAAGTACTATGAAGACACAGCCACATTCATTCGTTGACAGATCAATGACAACTGTATGCATACTGTTAACAGCAGGTTTTAAGAGTTAAGACAAACATGCGATGCCCCAGAGTCCCAAATATTTGTTAGTTGGTCCTTAACAGAAAAGCTTTCCTGACCCTGACTCACAGGATGCATGGCTGATGATCAATAAATATTAAACTGAAGGTAACCAATGTAAAAGTCCATTAACCACATATTATTTACACGGACTTCCAGAGCTTTACATCTGCATGTGTGCACAGAGCGTTTGTGAAGAACAAAACGTTAAATATTTTAACAGAAAAAAATTAGGTCAGACTGAAGATTACTCTTTCTTGCACACATAACAATTGTCACAGTGCGTAGTATGAAGAAAGACTGCTATTGTACCAACTTTTACCTACAGTCTTCGAACTACACTTGAGTCTGCTGCTACAAACATTACCTAGCTCACTTGCTTTTCTGATGCACCTGCACCTCTGGGAGCAACTACCTCACTGGTACAAAGGCAGTACTACGATCTATCACAGTGCCGCAGTTTTCACATCATAAATGCTACTGTATTATGGTAACATTTGCCTGGTCAGAATTTAAAAATTAGGAATATCTTAGCCGATACTTATATTACGTTATGGAAGAGGTGGTGTCTAAAATGACATGAAGAACTCTAAACTATACTGTATAGGTTATCAGACAAAAATAATAAACAATTTAGAGTCTATTAACTGTTAGCTATCCACAACCCCAACAAACTCCATGTTTTAACCTAAATAATCAACTCAAAATGAAGCTACCATATTATTAAGTGAAAATTTGTGTCCCAAAGCAGGATACCAACTGAAGAGTCAAGCAGTATCAAATGTTAGCAGTCTTTAGACAATTTATTCTGAAACATTTTAAATTCTTGCTATACAAAGTAAGGTTTCAAAACAGGCAGACATCCCAATCAGCTTGGATCATGACAGAAACTGGAACCACCCTTTGATCTGTGTATATATTTCACTTCAGACTCCTGGTCCAGAAGTACTAGTATTAAAAAAAATCCCATAGAGAATTATGTCAACTCTTCTTACAGACATTCACACATCAGTAAAATGTCAAGTTTCACAAAAGTCAACAAAATACTCACAAACATATCCATTCATAAAGATGACCGTACCTTGAGCACTTGAACTTGACCTTCTGTAGTAATTTCCTTTAACAAGTCACAGAAAGACTGACACAGACCTACTGCGTATGTCTGAAATTCAATAAAAATCAGTGCATACATAAGAATGTAACTGCAGTATCAAGAAGACACAAAATTCAACTTAGGGCTCCATGTAATCTACATGAGAACAACACACTGGAGGGCTAAGGGCAACCAGTTTCAATTAAAATTTTGTATGTGTGTGGTAAGAGGAAAGCATTCATTTCAAGAAGAAGCCAACTTTTACGGGAAAGAGCAGTCTCTTGATCCAACATGTGCTTTTGCTGTCCATAAGCCAACTGGGGGGATTTTAACAAGGAAAGGGCAGCTTCAGAAAGACCTTTACCTTTGGAAAAGTTAGGTACAGGAGAGCATCAGAAACAGATATCGCTGATCTGAGACTGATCTGACAGGACTATAATGATACACTGATCTATGTAGTACATTATCTACATTGAATTACAATGGGACTGCATGCATCACACTCACTGAATGCTGCTTCACCATCCTTAACCCAACAAACCAATCTTAAATTGAAAAGGCATTTGTAATTTCAAATTAGTAACAGTGTAAATGGTAACTACATAATTTCTTAGAAACACAAAAATGACTCCAACATACCTGCAAAAATTCTGTTGATGATAAAAAGATATAACCATTGATGATCTTAAAGCAGGTTCTGAGATTTTCTGAACTTAGTTCTGCCAAATCAACAAATTCCCCAAGAGAAGCAAATTAATCTGCTGTTTAAAAATTAGTCTAAAGAAGCCCATTTTTACTTAATACTGATCCTTTTTTATTTAATACATATATTCTTCTTCACAAATCTTGTCTCACACTACTCCAGACTACCAGGATCTATAAATACCCATCTAAAAACTAGAATCAACCCACAGTAAGACTATCTCATTTTTCACAAGTTAAAACAACTCAGAAAAAAATAATTCAAGTTTCTCTGATTTCCCTTAAAAAAGAAACACACTCAACCATTCATTTTAAACTAAAGGTTTGGTGTTATCATGGGAACCATGCCACTGGATCATTTTATTGCATGTGCATTCCTGCTGAAGGACTGAATATGCTACCTTACTTACCAGAAAATTCTATCATGCTTAGATACTGTCAAAAGTCAGAATTTGTTCAAGTCTGCCTCCCTATAAAACCTCACATAAACAGAATATAATAATATGCAGACTGTATACACATAATTATGTAAATCAAAATATAATCTAAATCTAAATCCTATTATGTTTTAACTGAAAATATTTTAGAAATTCTACACATTTTCTTACAAAAACTTTATTTTTGGAAAAATACTGCCTCAACCATTGAGTTATAATTTAACTCGTATCATGACAAAAGTGAGAAGACCTTCTACTATTTGTACAAAAGAATAACAATCTTTTACTAGCTCAAAATCCTATACTTGAATATTTGATCACTAGCTTAAAAACATGAGCACAGGGAAAAAACAGGGAATGTCCAGCTTACTACTATGCTAATAAAATATTAAGTAAATCCATAATCATTCAACTATTCTTTTACAATACAAGATAAAAATCTCACAATAAAGGAGGCCTTTATAGTGCAGAAAATTGTTCTTACAGGGAAAAAAATCAAGGTTTTTCTCATCAAGGAGAAAGTCTAGTCTAACCAGAACTTGTGCATATTTCTTACAGGACAATACTGAAGGGCAAACATTTGGGAACCACTGTGACACTTAAAGGAGAACTGAGAATGGCTTCAGGCCACACGTGTCAGGACACGCAACCACCAAATCACTGAAAACTAAAAGCTGATCAGCATCTACGTTGGAATACACAGCATTTACGAAGGCCTGACTTCATAAATCATTGAGCCTATCTTTCCTTACACATTTTAAAAATGTGTTCCTGACTCAATCCATACAAATAACCAGGACAATTCTGTCATTTTATACTGCTTTCCATGCCTCCATTACTGCCAGAACAACTTTTATTAGGTGTTCTTCACATGTTATTGTTAACAATTACCAAATATTTATATTAAAATATCTCTAAAATGAATTATCTATCTTAAAAGTACTAGGCATTTTTCATTACATCTATGAGCTTCTATTTAGATTCTAAGGAAAAGTATTATATAGACCTAATACAGGAATTATTATTTATTTCAATAAAGAAAGAGGTTTATATTTATTTCAGAAATTTTGCAGTTTAGGTCCATGATACTTAATTGGGCACAACGTTGCCCTCTTTAGGACATCTGGCAAAGTGAAAACAGCTCTGGTTGTTACTACTGTGATAACAGGCAGAACTAGGCAAACTACTGAGCACCCTACAACACAGACTCCTTAGCTAAGCAAGCCAACGGAGCTAAGACTGAAAAACCCTGATTTAGAAGCTGGGGGTGGGGGGGGGCTTTTCTTTTCATGCTGTTCAACAGTTCTGAAATAAAACTGTAATCCATCAAGTATTGGGTTATGCTCTTATAACTCCTTATTCTTATATAATTTTTATGTTTATTTATTTATTTTCATTTTACTCGAGAGGCAGAAATAGAAACTGACCAAAAGAGATCTTCTGTCCATGGCTTCACTCCTACTTCACCACTGTGGCTGGGCCAGGCCAAAACTAGGAAGCTAAAATTCTTTCTGGTCTCCAACACGCGCGGCAAAGGCCCAGTGACCTGAGCCACCTTATGCTGCTTCCCACAGTACACTGTAGCAGGAAGCTTCAGCAGAAGCAGAGCTGGGATCCCAATCAGGCTCTCCAATGGCCCTCAAGGGCTCTACAAGCAACGTCTAGCACTACACCAAAAATCTGCCTCAGCTTTATCTTTAGAAAAAAGCGATTCTTTTTTTGTTGTTGTTGTTTCCAATTCCAATAAAGTGCAAAGCCTACAATGCTTAAGATAGCCTATATTATCATGAAGCTAAGTAAACCAAACTTCCTTCCAAATTAGGAAGTTACTGAAGAGAATGTTTACCATTCAACAGACATTCATTTGGCCCTCATAATAATAAATAAGAGCCAGCGAAATATTTAAGTAATGAAAATACAAAGTAAGTTAATACTGTAAGATTTAAACAAAAAAAAAACAGGTTATTAAACTAATTAACAAAACTTTCAGTTATAGCCTTTGGTTCTACTTAAAATTTCACACAATCTACTTAAATTTTTTTTAAAAAGAATATAAAGCATTATTTAACTCTGAATTTATTCATACTTAATTAACATATTTTATCATTAACTTTTATATCTTAACAGTGTAAAGGATGCTGGTGCTATGGATTTCAAATTAAAGTGTGAAACTTCTTGCCAGAAGCTTTATCACTGCTTAGAAATAAATAATACCAATAATCTACATTAAATTGGTTAAAAAAAATCAATGCTCCAATAAGAATGTTCTGAGAGAAAAACTGAGTGTTTATTTAATCTACATTCATAAAGAAGCTTTTAAAATTGCTTTGTTATCTTTTTAGATCTTAATTGGATCTGTAATTCTAGAGTTATTCAGCACTTCACTCCCTAATGAAAATATTGTTTGCAAAAGTAAATTTTGAAACGTATCTGAAATAGGCCAAAAAGTGCTTAGCAAGCTACTTGTTAAGCACTAACAATTAGCTGTGTAATACTCAAGCGAATGCTTATAAAAGAAAAGTGAGGGAGGGAGGGAGAGAGGGAGGAAGGAAAAAGGGCAATGCTGGGGCCTGGGAAAGCAGCAGAAGATAGTCCAAGTATTGGGACCCCTGCCACCCACGTGGGAGACCCAGAAGCAATTCCAGGTTCCTGGCTTCAGCCCCAGCTGTTGCGGCCATCTGGGGAGTGAACTAGCGGACAGAAGATCTCTCTCCCTGTCTGCCTGCCTGCCTGTCTCTCCCTCTTTCCTGTTGCCACGCCACCTTTCAAATGAAGAAACATTTCAAAGGAAGGCAGTGCTGATGCCAAGCTATATTAAACATGCAGATGTAAGTTATAAGCAGAACTTCATATCACTGATAACACATACACCACAATGCACACAACAGACTACATATAACTGTTTAAACAGATAAAAATAGGAAATAAATAGTTCAATAGTCTATTTCATATTTATTGATATATTTCATAAAAGACAAAATTTGTAAAATCTTTATATTCCGTTAATGGTTGGATTAATCTATGTTTTAAAGTAGCAGTAATGTGATAACAGTAGTAGCTGTGCCAGTAAGCGAATTATGCATCAACTACAAAGGGTTCTATGGTAAAACTATACAAGGACACTCACTGAAAGCAACAGTAAAAAACAGCACCAAACAGTCACAGTAAAGTTGGAGTTGATACATAATTCTTAATAACTAATAAAGACTGCTACATACTGAGAATATTTGGCATGTAGTAATAAGCCCTATTTGTTTTGCTGTTACATTTAATGATACTGATCCCCTCATTCATTACTTGAAGGGAACTGTAAATTGTAGAGGCCCCACATGCTGAATAAGATGTGAGTAAAAAGGGAATGTGTGATCACTATGGAAAGTCACCCATATGTGACAGCTGCTGAATCCTGTTCACAACAAAGTTTAAGTCTGGTTGAAGTTTCCATTCTTAGGTCAAACAGAAAGAAACATGTGGGTTACCAGAATGGCACTGAGTACAAGTTTCAATTTAGAGCAGTATCAAAAAAGTCTTCACCAGAACACAAATGAATTGAAAATGGTATTCATTTCCTATTCTCATCCTCCATGATGACTGAGAAACAGACAAAGCTTTTTCTAATAGGCCAAAATGGGTAACTTCCTTGACTTCATCACTGGGAATTTCTCCCTCTTACAACAGGCAATAAAATAAGTAACAAATGTCTCTTTATTGGAAAACAAATGTTTTTCTTGGTTATTATTTAAGATCTCACCTGATTCTGAGAAATGGGGTAGAGGAACAAAAAAATTCAGAGAAAACGTGAAGGACTAATCACATTATCTCGCCACCATGGTCATCCAACAAATGAGGAGAGAAAACGTTTATCAGTTACAATGGTGTTTTAGTCCACATTTGCTGATATTCTCAAACCATGAGCCTACTTTCTTAATATGTCATTAGATTGCAGTGGTACTTCTGTCTCTGATAACATTTCTCAGCACAACTAAGTTCTCAGACAAAAAGCCTGCAGACAGCGCCATGATAACAGTGCCTAGGATAACTCCCCTAGGAGTTCTGAGCTGAAAGTGCTCTCACAACAACATGGAACTAGTCAGTATACCCACAGTTCTAATGAAGGAATTAAAGTTGCTTCATGGCTGAGTCTTGAAGAATGGTATCCCTGGATAGAAAAAACTTAAATAATTTTTACAATACACTTTATGAATAAACAAGCAAAACAGAGTCATTTATTCAAACTGAAAGAGACTCAAAGGGCTAGTAAAAGGCACTGTACATACTTCTTACAAACACAATGAGTGTAGGTATGAACCTGCACTAACAACTCTGACACAGAACAATTTCATAAACAATATTAGGATATTTCAAGTTATTACATACCTGAAAATGCTACACAATATGTACTACCTTATTATTAACAATTATTAAAATTGTAAAGATTCCAATTAGACTGTATTCAAGATTAAAAGAAGTAAGGACCTGTCCTAGAACAACATCCACATTTCTGGCCACATGTTCCAAAATTATTGCTTAGAAAATATTGAGAAGGCTGGCATTGTGGCACAGCGAGTTAGGAAGCTGCCAATGTCACCAGCATCCCAGAGCAGCATCAGTTCAAGCCCAAGCTGCTCCTCTCCAAACCACCTCCACACTAATGCACCGGAGAAAGCAGCAGAAAACAGCGCAAGTTCTGAGGCCCCTGACACCCAGAAGGGAGATCAGCCTCCAGGCATCAGCCCGGCTCAGCCCCACCACCTATAGCCAGTGAGGCAGCAAACGGGCAGACAGGAGATTGTGTGTGTGTGTGTGTGTGTGTGTGTGTGTGTGTGTGTGTGTGTGTGTGTGTGTGTGTGTGTGTTTCAAATACATAAATAAAATTTAACAAAACGAAAACATTAAGTTTCATAATTTTATAGTTACTTAATAAGTAATGTAATACAACACAGGTAATTTCTTAGGATTTCATTAGGATGGTTCGATAGTAAAACAAACACTTATACAAAGCTCACTGTGATTTATAAGCACAGAACTGCTTTAACACAGAAGCATGAGGAAACAAGCATATATGAAAGCAGATATTTAATTTTGTTTTATAATTAGTTTATAGAGCTCCTATCAAACACAGGAATTTTACCAAACCAAAATGGAAGTTTAATTTATCATTATTTTCCTAGGAATGTATTTTTTGTTCTTGTTGCTGTTTTTCATAATATGCTATAATTTAATGTTCATTCATTAATAAGAAGCTGTTTAGAAAGCAAACGCTAGAAATTACTAAAAAGCTATTCATGTAAGGATAAGAGTCTTCAACAAAAGAGGAAGGTATAATTTTAAAGTTGCCTATAATGTCCCAAAAGATATATTAGTAAGTTATTGTTTTGACACATACCAAGAAGCGGTGACATATTCTGAAATATACGAAGCAACTCTGGTGTAATACATGGACTGTTTTCCAATGTTACTAACCTAAGAAGAAAAGACAGATAAGTAAATCTTTTTCCATGTCCAACACTCATTAATGCTCCAAAATAAATTTTGTGAGCTTTTTATACAAATAGTAAATATACTTCAGATAGAAACCATAAACAAAAGTATTTAAATAATAAAATAATAATATATTAAAGGCATGATTGTCCGAAAAGATTAAGAACTAGGTTGGAATATTTATTTTCTTCATATATATTCTCCCAGAGGTCAGTGCAACAGATCAACAGGTAATCCTCCACCTTGCAAGAGTCTGCATCCTATATGGGTGCCAGTTCACGCCTCAGCTGGTCCACTTCCCATCCAGCTCCCTTTTGGGGGGGGGGAGGGGAGCAAAGCAGCAAAGGATGGTCTAAAGCCTTGGGACACTGCATCTGTGTGGGAGACCCAGAGAAAATCCTGGCACCTGGCTTCAGACCAGCTCAGTTCCAGCCAATACAGCCACTTGGGGAGTGACTCAGTAGATGAAAGATCTCTCTGTCTCTCCTTTTTTCTGCAAATCTCATCTGCCTTACCAAAAAAATGAATAAATCTTAAATATAAATCTATATATATCCTTCTGGCACAAATTCTTGCATGTCCTTCCAATGAGAAACCCAATGAGCTAGTTAATAAAACATTTTATGTTGCATAAATAGGCATTTAGTACACTACGAATCATAAGTAAATAAATTCTTTAAAAGCATGACATGACTTCAAAGACTTAACAGAAAATGAGAATCAAGATAGCAAAATAGGGTAAGGACATGTTTAAACAGATGGAGAACATTAGCCAGTGTAAGGCAGAGAGGACACATTCTAGGAAACAGGAGAAGACAGAACAGCAGCAGAGGGGCACCTGGAGACTGACAGACACAGGAAAGCAGCAGACACAACAGTGTGGTGTTGCAGTGACTGATACCCCAGTGGCATTCAGTGAGTGGTGATCTGAACTACACTGGCAGCCAGAACTCTACCAGCAACAAGGTGGGAAGGGACGTTCACTGGAAGCTCAGGAGGTAAACCCAAAGAACTGCCTGTCCTGCTGGTCTGCTTCACTTGACCAGGAGCAGACAGAGAAGCAAGTCCCAGATGGACAGTATGGGAACAGGGTGGATTTCACACACCAGTCTGCCCCATAGAGCTGAATTGGGCATCATTTTGTATAAGGAGACAAAGACTATGGGACAGGACTGTACATGCACTGAGCTGGGAGTGAACTCATTTCTGGCTCAGTGAACTGCAACAATATGACATCCTACAGGTTCCACCAAAGATAGGTCTGGATAGCCCTCAGACCTGATGGCTAGCAGATCAAGAACTTTAGTAGTGGTACATCAGGCACCATTTTGTACAGAGTGAAAAAAGCTTTAAGACTGCAGGAATAAAAAACAGTGAGCTGCACATGTACTGAGCTGGGAGTGAACTCACTCAGCTCAGTGCATTGCACTGGTCCCACAGAGAAAATAGTAATGACTAGAGCACTGTACAGGTCAAAATAGGTCCGTATTGCCCTCAAACCTATCAGTCAACAGATTTCGGCATGATCACCACCACCAATAACCTAGCTATATAGGACACCTGGTGGTCCCCTAATCCTGGGACCTGCTCCAAACAGAAGTGGGAGAAAAGTTGTACAGACAACAGTGCAGCCTCAGCACTACCATGGGAGGTGGAGAGCCAGGAGCTGGGGCTATGGAGACCATGGTGGAAGTCTAACATAAGAACCCAGACCTGGAACTTGCTGGAGGGAGTAGCACAAGTGACTGCAAACAAAGAGCCATGTACCAATCACAATAAGTAAAATCAAACTGTAGACCTGTGGGTGACACAGCTTAGAAACCTGCCCCAAGGAGAAGAATCTCATAACTAGAAGTACAATGGTCAAGACCAAAAGAAGAGACAAAGGCACAATGAATATTACCGAAGACTTCCCTGGAAAGGAGCAAACCCCTTTGCCAGCCGCAGAGTTCACTAAGGAAGACATCAAGAAAATGTGGGATATAGAACTCAAACACTTGTTATAAAACTTTCATCAACAATGAGAAGTAAATAATGCACGAGTTCACAGAATTTAGGCATATGTCACATTAGAAATGAATCAAATGAAAGCTGATATATCAGAAATGAAGAATACAGTGGAACAAACTAAAATCACAGTGGAGAGTCTTCAAAATAAAATGAAGGAAACAGAAGAAACAATTTCAGAATTGGAAGATATTTCCTGTCACCAGAAGGAAACAAACAAAAAGCTGGAAGCAGAGCTGGGCCAAGCTAAAAAAAGTATTCAAGAATTGAACGACATTAGGCCAAATATAAGAGTTATGGGAGTCCCAGAAGATGCAGAAAGAGAAGCTGGGCTTACAAGCGTATTTAATGAAATAATAAGGGAAAATTTCCCTATTCTAGAGAAGAATTGGGACACAACATTCAGTAGGGACACAGAACTCCCAACAGGCTTGACCAAAAGCAATCTTCATCCCTACATATAATAATCAAGCTCTCTTCAATTGAAGATAAGGAAAAGATCCTTAAATGCTCACGTGAAAAAAATCAATTGACATATAAAAGAATGACAGCTTTCTCACAGGAAACTTGACAGGCCAAAAAAGAATGGAGTGACATATTCCAAATTCTAAAAGCAAAAAACTGTCAGCCCACAGTAAAAAAAAAATTAAAGGAATATGCCTCTTCCATACCTGCCCTACAAAGGATACTTAAAGATTTTGTCTTGACAGAAAAAGAGAAATAGCACCCACCAAAACCAAAGGCAAATGTGAAGAACATCCCAGTAAAATAAGAACAGGAAGATTGAATCAATTAATAAACCACTGCTAAAATGACAGGACTAAATTACCCCCCATTCATATGAACCCTGAATATAAATGACTGAAATCCATCAATCAAATATCATAGATTAGTAGACTGAATTTAAAAACAAAACCCATCTATTTGTTGCCTACAGGAGACACATTTCACCAACAAAGATCAGCGGAAACTATATCTCATGGATTTTGATTTTTTTTTTTTTTTTAGTTTCATCTCTTCAAAACACTTTCTCATTAAATTCTTCACTGATTCACAGATCATACAGTAGCATCATTTTCTTCAAGAAGGTTCTTAATTTTTTTCATCTGGACATATTAGTCATTCAGTAGCATGTTATTTAACTTCATGGCATTTTTAATTTCTTCTTTTCTTCCTGTTGTTGATTTTGTTTTGTGGCTTTTCATTTAAGGGGATGTATAGTAACTGTGTAATGGAGACTCATATCTACCAGCATGTAATTTAACTTCATGGAATTGTAAATTTCTTATTTTTCTTCCTGTTGCTTATTTTGTTCTGTGGCTTTTCATTTAAGGAGATGTGTAGTAACTGTGTACTGGAGACTATCATGTCCAGATGTGAGGATACAATGCAGTATGTATCTCTACTTTCAGATCAAAGTCGGACTCCCAATGAAACTGTTTACTCTATCTTGACAATAGGATGCCTGACTCTGCCATTGTCCATGTCCACCATGATGGACATATGACTGTTTATGAAGAACTATACTACAGTAATAATACAAGGGAACTCAGTGAGTGGGGAGAGGGAGCTTGGAAGGGAAGTGAAAACCCAAGGCCTATGGAACTGTATCATAAAATGATAAATAATAATATTAAACAGAAAGAAGGAAAAAGAAAAAGAAAATGGAATTAAAAGTTTATTTTTGATTTAAAACAATTTCTCAAACTCATACAGAGGTTCTCCTAATATGCTTTTAGAAGATCCCTCATACATGGATGGCTATTTGTTACAAACCCCCCAAATTAGAGAAAAAACATGGCAGTCACCATAGCAGAAATAAAGGGGAGGGAATGAAGCACTTCGGTTAAAAAAAACCTGGGGCCTGGTGCGATGACTCGCCTTGCACACACTAGGACTGCATATGGGGTTCATACAGACCCAACTGCAGCTGTTGAGGCTATTTGGGGACTGAATCATAGGCCAAAGACCTCCCTCTTTTCTCCTTCCTTCTCTGTAGCTCTGCCTTTCCAACAAAAATAAACAAAATCTTAACAACAACAAAATCTGAGCGCCAAGAGGACAAAGTTCAATAGTTTGTATTCACAAAAGAAATATAGTATAGAAAAAAGAGGGAGAAAGAATTTACTGACAAATTATTCAAGTTATTAAGAATTTAGTAAGGTTGTTAAACATATCAATATATAAAAACCATATGTACAAAAAGTTAATATTTTATGATATAGATAATCCTACAAAAGTAATAGACATAATAATTCATCATAAAGATTCCAGTTCTCTGCAATAGAATCAACCCAATTTAGTTCTCCTGCAAGTTTCCATGTGGTACTTAGGCAAGATGAATACACATGATGTGAGAGCAAATGAACAAGAACTAATAAGAGAATTCTCAGAATCAAACAGTTATGTACAGGACAAGGGAATGGGAGCCAGGAGTCAGGACAAACACTGGCTTAAGCAGATACTACACTACTGTTACAGGCACGGTAATGAACACAAAAAAGCCATTAACAATCACAACAGCAGAGCCCTCCGCAATGTGTCCAGATCAAGATTCTTCCCTAAGCCTGTGGCTTCCCCAGACTTAGAAGGCTATTCAGGTTGTCACTCTACTAGCTTTCACAACAGAAATCAGGCTACTCAACAGAAGGAAAAAAACTATGTAAAATAAAATGACCAAGTCTGTTAACTTCAAATTAAACTAGTCAAAATGAGGAAAGGGAAAAAAAGAGAACCAAACAAAGTAAAAATACTATTCTTTACCATAAATATAAGAGCGGGCACTGGCCTTTAGCCTCACGGTTAAGCTACAGGCCTCCCCATAACAGAATCCCTCCACTGAAGACCCTGCTCCAACTCCTAACTCCAATTTCCTGCTCCCACGGGCCGGGGAAGCAGCAAAGACAGTTCCTGCCCCCAGAGGGCACAATGGGCCTGAGCTCCCAGGTCCTGGTTTTATCCCAGATCCCCCACCTATGGATGCAACTCTCAACTTCTCCTGCACATACGTGCTCTCTCACCCGTCCTCTCTCTCAATGTAAGAATAACTTTTTTTTTTTTAAGATTTATTTTTATTATTTTTTCATTGGAAAGGTGGATATACAGAGAGGAGAGACAGAGAGGAAGATCTTCCGTCCGATGATTCACTCCCCAAGTGAGCGCAACGGGGCCGATACTATGCCGATCAGAAGCCAGGAGCCTCTTCCGGGTCTCCCACGCGGGTGCAGGTTCCCAAAGCTTTGGGCCGTCCTCGACTGCCTTCCCAGGCCACAGGCAGGGAGCTGGAAGGGAAGTGGGGCTGCCGGGATTAGAACCGGCGCCCATATGGGATCCCGGGCGTGCAAGGCGAGGACCTTTAACCACTTGCGCCACTGCGCCGGGCCCAAGAATAACTTTTAAAAAGCAAAGTTACATACAAGAACACCTTTATCGAGAAAGACACAAAATGACACAGAATAAGCTAAGCCACCAGTCTTAAGGCCTGCACCCACGCCAGAGTGGCAGGACTGAGTCCAAGCTGTTTGGCACTTCGGGTGAGCTTCCTGCTAAGGCAACGGAGAGGCAGCACAGAAGTGGCCCAGTATGAGTTCCAGACACCCACATAGGAAAGTCAGACAGAATTCTGGGCTCCTAACATCGGGCTGACCTAGCCCTGTTTGTTGAGGGCATTCTGGAAATGAACAAACTGATGGAAGAACTGTCCCCCTTCCTGTCATTCTCCATTTCAGATAAAGAACACAGAAACACAGAAAAAAGGAAAGCCTAAAAGAAAGAGACTATCAACTCCAAAAAAGGAACAACCACAGGAAGTAGGAACTATTTGCCGACTTTGGCAGATAAATAAAGATGGACAGGTTATTCAAATTACAGACTTAGTGCCATGGGACAACTAGTATTTTCAATTCTAGACAGGATTCCAAGGATGAGCCATAAGCCCTAATTTTTAAAAATGCAGAAATAGTACTCTAACTTGTGATATTTAAGAATGTTTGATGTTTTCAAATTTAGTTTATTTGAAAGGGAGAAACAGACAAAGAGAAAGACAGAGCTCAATCTCCAAGTTACGGGTTCATCCTCTAAATACACACAAGAGCCAGACTCAGCAGGCTGAAGCAGGGAAAGGAGAACTCCATGCACATTTAACACACACGTGGCACGGCCCCAACCACGTCAACTACCACCTGCCGCCTTTCAGCCTGCACATCAGAAAGTAGCCGGAATCAGCCTGAACACAATGCCAAGCACCCCAATTTGGAATGTGGAAACCTCAAACATATTTACTGTTAGAGCAAAGGCCTACCACCAAAATCTTAGCAACATGGAACTAGTTTACAATGAAATCATCTAGATACCACTAGGGTCCAATATTCTAATCTCAAAAAGAATATGAGTAACCCAAACTACTCATTAATAGGTTTCTTAGTTAAGTTTTCAAAAACATTGTTCATTCATTATTCTAAGACATACATTAATTCATAATTTGCATGAAAGAATTGCAAAGAATCAATACTGCTAATTCACAGACATTTAAGCAAAAAGAAAGAGTGGGAAGAAAAAAATAAAGGCACAAGAAGATACACACAGAGAAATATATACTATTTTCTCTATCACTGATTACTGTGATTTACTTTTTCTTTAATATCTGAAGTTAATTTATATACTACAATTTTTGAATGCTAATGTATAATTTGGAAGACCGTTTCTAGAGAAAGCTATTGCCAGCAGTAGGATGAGCTTAACAGACTAAAAGGATTTTCTAGGACAGTCTCTCACACACAACATTCACTGAAGTGCACAGGAACAGAGTGCTAGTGAAGGTGGATGATCTTTTTAAAAAAAACCTTTGAACACTAGAATCTACATAGCAGCAAAAAAAAAAAAAAAAGAAAGAGAAAGTCTAAGTCTAAGGTGGCAGCCTGATGACTCAACAGGCTAATCCTCCACTCACAAACTCCAGCATTTCACCTGTGCACTAGTTTAATTCACACATGTGGGAAACTCAGAAAAAGCTCCTGGATTCAGATCAGCTCATGTGGGGAATGAAACAGCAGATGGAAGATCTTTCTACCTCTATGTAAATCTGCCTCCCCAACAAAAGTTAATAAAACATTAAAGAAAATTCAAAAGAGCAGAAATAATTAAAACAAAAGACTATAGGGCGGGCCCGACGCAATGCATAATGGTTAAAGTCCTCGCCTTTCAAGCGCCTGGATCCCATATGGTTGCCGGTTCTAATCCCGACAGCTCCACTTCCCATCCAGCTCCCTGCTTGTGGCCTGGGAAAGCAGTCGAGGACGGCCCAAAGCCTTGGGACCTTGCACCCACATAAGAGACCTGGAGGAAGTTCCTGGCTCCTGGCTCCGGATCGGCACAGCACCAGCCATTGCGCTCACTTGGGGAGTGAATCATCGGACGGAAGATCTTCCTCTCTGTCTCTCCTCCTCTCTGTATATCTGCCTTTCCAATAAAAATAAAATAAATCTTAAAAAAAAAAGAACTATAAGGTAACACCAGCATTTGGGACTAAAGGAAACACACATTGTCTCAGTGCGTGACACAGAAAGTAGTAAAAGTGTCAAATATAATTCATTACATGCCTGAAAACGTTAATGTCAATTTTAAACTTGAAGATTTTCATTTTTTATGGGAAATTCCAGGAGATGAAATACAAGTCAATTCCTATCTGAACTTTAGCCATGTTGACTACATGACAACATTCAATAAGAGGTGCCGCAAGAGGAGCCGCTTGATTTCCAGATTAGGTAAACAGATGTTAACAGTTTTGCTTAAAGCCCTGATTATGACCTCTTCCTTATTGACAACTGAGAAGAAAAACACCGAGAAAAAAAAAGTAAGATCCATGGGCTCAGCTACATCCTCTTACCATAATTCTAAACCATCTTCCAGAAGATACACATGTGGAGGCTGGGAAACATCCGTACTCAGCTGAATAACGGGCAGCAGGAAAGGGTATACGTTCTTGCTGTCTGCACCTAATCCCTGGAGGAAGCATAAATATTCAGCATGTCAATATATACTTAGGATAGAGTTCAAGGGCCCCAGATCTGCCACCCAAACATTACCCATTAGGTTAAAAGCCTTAAAAGCAACACATTAAAAATATAAGCACTAGTAAAACTACAATTACAATGAGGAAACACTTAATTGTCTTAGTTCTATTTAAATGCCGAACACCCATTAAAAAAAAGTTTTGGTTCGTTTTAAGAAATTCTGTACACTATTAGAATAAACACTTTGTTTTCCTCTCCCTGTGATTAGAGTGTCAACCATGGCTATGAACACTCTCACCACAGAAATTAAAACAAAATGCATGCACCAAATTGTTCCACAGCAAACACAATGTGGAGCACATGTTTCATGTTTTATGGTCATGACTCAAGATTTGGCATGGGATGAAAAAAGAACATCAAAAATGATAACCAATTTCAAAATTATAGGTGTGCACAAGTTTTTAAAAGGATGTACATTCATGTAAATGTGGACAAATGCATTAAAATGTTTCTAGAGATAAGTAAATAACAGAAATCAAGTATTGAAAAATATTCTGGAAAGAAGATCTATGGAGGGGTTTATTTTTTCACTGACTAAAGACATCACATTACTTACTTCTGGAAGCAAAGAAGGACTAAAGCATCAATTTCTAAACCATAGAATTATTACTGTGTAATAAACACAGAAGAGAAACTGAATAAACTATCAAATAAATACTGTCTCACTTAGAAATAACTCCTATGTCAATAAAGAAAATGAAAGTGTTATAAATGCTTATTCCCCTATTGAAATCTTCTTAACAGTATAATAGCATTATTATTATTTAGGAGTCCAGGACCCAGAGCAGCAGCCTGGTAGCTAAAGTTCTCCCCTTGTATGCGCCAGGTTCCCATATGGGTGCTGGTTCATACCCTGGTGGGCCCAATTCCCATCCAGCTCTCCGTTTGTGGTCTGAGAAAGCAGTCAAAGACGTCCCAAAGTCTTGGGACCCTGCACCCGCATGGGAGACCAGGAGGAAGCTCCAGGCTCCTGGCTTAGGATTGGCTCAGCTCCAGCCATTGCGGCCATCTGTGAGTCAGTGAGTCAGCTGATGGAAGCTGTTCCTCTCTGTCTCTCATCTCTATATACCTGACTTTCCAATAACAATGGATAAATCTTAAAAAAAAAAAGAGTCCAACATACTATTTAAGTGTATAATACATTATTATTTACAATAGTAACTAAAGTCATCATGCTTGACAATAAATTTAAAGATTATTAATTCTAACAAACTTTGCGCCTTTCGCCAACTGCCACAAGATGTTACAGTATTTATGTTTCAGTTCAATCTTTGTCAGTGTGGCATACACAGTTAAAAGCAACTACATGAACATTTTCCTTAAATATGTCAGGTACAATTGTGAACTTTTCTGTAACTGAAAATCCCTTGAAAGACCTTATTAAAAAATTTGCCAAAGGAACGAAACTAATAAAATGCCATTACTTAATAAAACAGTATAAACGAGCCTTAAAATTCAATTAAATTTCACTCTATGTAGATGACTTATATGGAGTCAAAAAAGAAAGAATATTAAGAAAAATTAGTTCAGATGATTTAGATCAACAAACATTCAAAATTTCTTGGGGAAAGTAGGATTTGTTTACTTAAATGCATTTTTTTCTATTGGCATCAGTAAGCAAGTGAAGAACTGTTTAACCACTGCACTCTCACCCTGTAATGCAGAGGCTGCAGAATGGGTACAACTCCAAACACGGAGTTCTAAGCAAATCTGAACCTTCTACAATCATTACAATTCATCGTCAACCACTTTGAAAGCTAAAAAAAAGAAAGCACTATTTAAGAAAATACCAGAGAAGACTGAAAATGGGAAAAATTATATTCAACTATAGTTATACAACTATAGCTACAGCTAACTTCAAATGAATCTCACATTGTTTAGCATCCTTGACATTTTGGCCTTTCTCAGGCCACCGCCCTCGGCGCTCTTAAACCTCAAGATCACTGCTGATATACAATCCATCAGCTCCAACTGCCGACACGCACACGGCTATAAGACATACACCCCGGCTCCTGGCCTTGGAGCGGCGAGAATGGCAGCAGTTCGGACATGCTGAACTATCAAAACAAACTGAGCAGGACCCTCAGAGCATGTCCTACATTGGGGACCGGGGATGGATGGGAGGCTGGGGGCAGGGAGGGGGGGCTTCTCCCTTTATCTCCCCACTTACCCCAGATACAGAAAAAATAATAATGTGGAAACAATGGTCTTACCCACTTTCCTGTAGCCCTGCCCCTTTGTGCCTAATCAACTATGTAAAGATTGTCAAAATCAAAGAATTACAAAAAAAAAGGGGGGGAAGTATTCTTCTAATGTATGAAAGAAATTTCCAAAGTACTTTTAGTGGTACAAATGCTGTAAAACCATTTAGTTCACACATGGACATAAAATGTAACGTTTTTCAATGACTTATTGTAAATCACAGAAAAACCATTAAAAAAAAAACAACTAAGCAGCTCTGTGGAAAAGCGACCTACCTGAACAAGATGAATCAGCGTGGTCAGAATCGCACAGCGCAGCATGTTGTGCTCCTCGCTCTGCTTCCAGAGCAGAGGCAAGTACTGCACCAAACAGCCAACATAGGGTCGGATCTGCCCCGCAACAAAGCAAAAGCATGTCAGTACAGACGGTCAGTACAAACCAGCAGAGAAAGAGCGCTGGAAAACCCACGCAGAAAATGATTAAAATACATTACAACGTATGAAGTACATTGAAAGGCTGAGTTACAAAAAGAGGAATCATCTGTCTACTGCTTCCGTTCCCACATTGCTGCAACAGCCAGTGCTGGCCAAGCCAAAGCCAGGAGCAAGACTTTCATCTAGGTCTCCTACACAGATGGCAGAGACCCAAGACTTAGGCCATCTTTACTGTTTCCAGAGGTGATTGGCAAGGAGCTAGATAGAAAGTAGAGCAGCCACGACATGAAGCAGAACCCATATGGGATGCCAGGGTGGCAGGCAGCAGCTTTACCTGCTATACCACAAAGTCAGCTTCCTGAGATGTTTCAATCAACAACAAAATACTGCCCATATACAATACTGGAAGGGATTACATACAATATGTAGGCTTCACAGGAAAGCCAGCATTATCAGCCTAATACATAAAGACACAAAATTAAACATATATTATACTTAACAGAGTAATGTAAATGCCATGGCTTTCAGGATGGTTACTACAAAAAATAAGTGTGAGTATAAGAATGTAGAACACCTGGGACATTTGCACACTAATGATCAGAATGCAAAATGATGCAGCCATTGAAAAACAATACAAAAGCTCTGCAAAAAATAGAGGGCTGGACCCGGCGCCGTGGCCTAGCAACTAAAGTCCTCGCCTCAAACGCGCCAGGATCCCATATGGGTGCTGGTTCTAATCCCAGCAGCTCCACTTCCCATCCAGCAGCCAGCTTGTGGCATGGGAAAGCAGTCAAGGACGGCCCAAAGCCTTGGGACCCTGCACCCACATAAGAGACCTGGAGGAAGTTCCTAGCTCCTGGCTCCGGATCGGCACAGCACCAGCCATTGCGCTCACTTGGGGAGTGAATCATCAGATGAAAGATCTTCCTCTCTGTCTCTCCTCTTCTCTGTATATATGGCTTTGTAATAAAAATAAATAAATCTTAAAAAAAATACAGGGCTATCATTTAATCCAGTAATTCCCATTTCTAGTTCTCCAAAAGAATCAAAATCAGAACTATAAAGAGATTCTTAGCACTCTGTTGTGCCAGCACTCAAAGCAGCCACTACATGGAAATCACTTTAATGCTCAATAACAGGTGAATGTATAAACAAAACTCACACTATATGAAACAACAATATAAACAATGCCATAAGACCCTCTGTGTGCAAGGACTTGGGTGCTTGCCCTCCACAAGGGAGTCCTGGTTGAGTTCCATACCCTGGCTTCTGCAGGACATGGCCACTAAAACGTCTGAACACTGACAGGTTCCATTTAACACAGCACATCTGAATTCTTACCCCAAGGTATGTGTTAGGATTAAATCACAATTACATACAAAGGCCAAAGCACACAGACTGATAGCTGTTCTCAACAATTGCTTTAGAATTCATAAACAGGCTCAAGGTCTCAAAATTCAAACAGCAAGCTCTAGAGCAAGTCCCAAGGGTCACCCTCCACTCAGCTATCTTTTCTTAATACCTCTGAGATGGACTTCAGCCTTTTCAAAGGATACGTAAGAGGTGTTAGCTAATTACAGCCTCAGTTCCTGAATTAGGAATTAGAAGGAAGCAAACCACGACCCTTACACATCATTCATATAATAAACAAAATATGAATATAATGCAGACTTAACTACAAAATACACTTAATTTTTGCTGCAAAAACTGAACACATAAGAAAATTTGTATTTCCTAACTGAAACAGTGGTTATTATCCCAAACACAGCTTTTCTGAGATTTTTTTAGTACAAATCTGTCTTCTAAGACATGAAACATTCTGCTTTTAAATGTTCTCTATGAGTCCTAGCTCTGCCCTGCCACCAAGACCTTGCGGCAGGATGAGTCTGGGAGGGGTCCAAGCTTTGGAGTTGGGGGCAGCTATAGGAGTGGGGGTGCCCCTGCCAGCCCTGATCCAAGGCTGGGGTCTCAGGCCAAAGCCACTGCCAAAAGGCAGTGACTGAGTCCTTAGCATTGCGCAGCTGGGGCACCTAATGGTGTCAGGCTCTGCCTGCTGGCTGCCCAGCGGCGAGCTCTGGGGTTTTTAGGATATGAAATTGCTGCTTAGGGACACCCATGAATAAGGCCAGCTTTAGTGTAGGTGAGAGATGAATTCTGGGTGATTCCCAGTAACAGGGTCATGAAACTTTCGGGCAAGCGTGGGGACTGAGACCTGATGGTTTGGAGGGGAGTGTCCATAAGATCTATTTGGGCCAGACTGATTCACCAGCCAAATTAGGAATCCTGAGATGGGCTGTTAGCATAGAGCATCACTGACTGCCACACACCAGTCCACACCAAAGCTATGGATGGGGGCCTGTCTGGCAGGGCTAGGTACCATTACTTGACTGGGTGGTGGAATAGTGGACTGGTCACATTTGGCAGGGTCAAGACACTAACCAGCATGCGAGAGAACTTGGTCCGAGGGTAAACTCTGTGGGGGAAGTATGGGCCCAACCCTGTGGAAATACAAGTCCAGCAGGTTAGCTGGAGTGGCGGAGGGCTGAGCTAGGGGTGACCATGGTACCTGACATCACTTACGGGTAAAGGAACCAATGGCAATCTGGGCAGGTCAAGGCAGCAGCACCCAAAAGTGCATCCTAAAACAGGATGTGGGGTGGGCCGAGCTGCAACTGGAAGGGGGTGGACCGGGCAGGGCCAAGCAAACTTCAACTCACAAAAAAAATAAATCAGGATGGAGCACATGTCATTCTGACCTAGGCTCTTACACCAACTGGTCTGCATGAGCCAGGGATACTAGGCCACAGCATTGAAGGCAAAGGCTGAGACAGGTGAGGGGCTAAGCCAACTGGGTCAGAGCAACCACTGGCACACGTGCAATCTAGGGCTGGGAATAGACTCAGTTGGGGAGCTATGAGAGTACACCCTTGCTGGGTTGGGGTTCCCACTGGTGAGTGTGGGGGCCAGAGTGGGGGCTGCGTTCTGGTCTGGATATGGCTGCAATCTCCCTAGGCACAATTGTGGACTGGGGCTGGGTGCACCAAGCTGGGCTAGACGCCAGCACCATCTGGCACTCTGGAGAACCTGGGTAGATGTAGGATGGACTAGGCTGGGTCTCTGCCCCTACTGAGCCATGTGTGAGCAGTGTCTAGGTATGGACAAGCCTTGGCTGGGGTGAAACAGCCAACACCAAGAACTGGAATGGATTGCAATGAGGGCTGGCCCATGGAACCATCAGTACACGCAAGACCTGGCATAGGGAGAGGTGCTGAAAGAAAAGCTTGGAAAACTCCACCAACCTGCCAGTATGTAGGTTGGTTGGGTTGAACTAGGCTTCAATGCCCACTGACAAGTACCAGAGCTAAATGGGATGTGGGACAGACTGAACAAATCTGCCGTACATACTGGCATGCATGGGAATCAGGGTAGGAAGCAGGCCTGGTGGGGGTTATGGGGAGTCACCCCAACTAAGCTACAGCTCCCACTGGTTTGCGTGAGGACCGAGTATGAAGTGGGTAGGATCGAGCTAGTCTACAACATCCATTGGTTCCAGGGGATGACAGGGCTGGAAACAGAAGTGAACCAGCAATTGCAACAAAGAGCATGTGCATAAGCTGATTGGGGTGAAGGACTGGCAAATTCACACAAGAATCAGGTTTGGAATCATCTCAGATGAAGTTTCTTCAGAGATCCCTCCAACTAAACTGCTGATCTCAGAACCCCAACCATGGAAACACTATGTCAGCCAGTGGATTCTGAATAGGTTTCATCGCGATTGGAATGGCGAGATTGGCAGCAATTCAGACTGTTGAACTATCAAAACTGCTTGAGCAGGACCCTCGGAGTGTGCCTCACATCGGGGACCTGGGATGGGTGGGAGGCTGGGTGGGACTTTTCTCTTTGTTTCTCCCCTAACCCCAGATACAGGGGGAAAAAATGGTATTAGTGTGGAAACAATGGGATTACCCTCTTGCCTGTAGCCCTTGACCCTCTGTACCCTAATCAACTAAGTAAGATCATTTAAAAATAAATTAATTAATTGAAAAAAATGTTCTCTGTGCTGTTGGAGCAATTTTAAAATTTCAATTTTTCTTAATCATTTTTGAAAACCCAAATATTAATATCAATTTTAAATCATATAACTGAAACCACGACCTTTCATTTAGAAGCACTTCACTGACTCTTCTGACTTTTGAACAGGCAAATTTAGTGAATACTACATCATATTCTCCTAGCCTGATATTTACTTCCATGGTTTACAGAACAAAATTACCTGCATATTGACTCTTTCAATCACACAAGAAAGAACGTGCAGAACGTGCATCTTTGTGTCACACTCGGTAACTTGCTGCAGTAGTTGAAAAAGTAGCGTGAACATGGTTTCCAAATACTGTAAGTATTTAAAAAACAAAAAAAAAAGACTTGGAATAGAAATGAAAAGATCTCTACATACCTATGCACATAAAGAGATGGAAATAATTTTAAAAATTACTAAACTAAAACATTAGTAGACTTTAATCATACAGGCTGCTAATTTGTGAGATAGTGACTTTTCTCTTTATTACTCCTACATATGTCCATTTCTAAATTTAATTCATCCACAAACTGAATTAGCATTTACGAGACTGTCTGAATTGTGTATGTTTCAATGCATATTATTAACTACACCGTGATCAGTGCCTAGCCCTGGGCTTCCAGGGATGTCTGCTGCCAGTCAGAGCGTCCTTAGTTTTACCAGATCTGCTCACGAAAGCCCAGAGCACACCAGTGCTTCACCCCGTGCCGTTACACGCTGTGCTCCTGAACACAGGCTGCGTGCAGGCAGAAAAGGCTGTATCTATGTCTGTTATTAAACTGCTAAGTATCTCATTAGAAAACAAGAAACAAAAACCACCAAACATTGCATTGTGAAAATTATATCAGGAATTGATAAACCACAAGCACTGACTTCCTTTTTTTTTTTTTGACAATTGGTTTATTTTTCTAAAAATATATAAAATATATTCCTTTAATCCAAAAATAGCCAGTGGTTTTTCACTTAAAAAATCAGTTTATAAGCTTTCACATCATTCTCACCCAAAGAAAGATAAACAGAGATTATATAATTTTCTCTCCATCGAGTCCTCTTAAGCAACATAAACACTACCATTTCAATCTTCCTAACATTTGTACAAGTACTTAGTAAATACCAGTTACATAAGACCACTATTCTAAGGGGCAGGAGCTGAGGGATGATTACGATTTGGAATTTTGTTTTGTGAGTAACTTGTGATTTAGTGTAGGATGCAAGTACATATTCATAAAAACACGGGGAGATAGCATAAGGAGTGCCGTAACAGGTGCTCATAAGGTGAACGACTAGACTATGAGGAAAAATAAAGTTTGGTGATCAAGTTCAAAATCGGTGACAAAAATATGCAGAATAAACCAGAACTATTATCAATAAAAGTAACCTAACAGTTACTAATACAAGTAATCTCCTATAAAATATCCAAAAACATTTTAAGCTCAACTCTTACACACACACACACACACACACACACACACACACACACCACATTTCAAAAGTAAGGCAACATTGAAAATACATGAATGGAAATTCTTTTAAAATTTGAAAATAAATATTCTTACCGGTAGAAACTGATCTGTTCTAAATTCAAAATCATCAACAGGTGAAAGGCAGCTAAGGAACACTGACAACACCGACAACCAACAGATGAGGCTCAGGAACACACACATTCCTGACATAATGCAACTAATCAATAAAAAAATTACATTTCAAACTACCTCTTAATTTGCCAAAATAATTTTGAAACCTACAGATGTTCTGTGCAATGAAGCATTTTTTATTTTTCAAAGGATATTTAACTTCAGAGTTGTAGCTGTTTCAATACGGACCTAAAAGAAAATGAACTATGAGTTTACAATCATTACAGAACTATTAAACATCATTAATTACTCAAATCATTTTCTTCATTCTTTTTGTTAATACTAAAGTCATAAAGCACATTAACATTCAAATAAAACAAGAGACTTCCCCTAGCTTGCAGCAAGAGAGAAACAGTAAAGGTAAGGCTAGTGCTTATTCCCAGCTCTCGCTAGTTTCCCAGAATTTGCTTAAGGACAGTCTACTGCAATGGCGGCTTCCAGCAAGAAAAGTAACTTGCCGTCAGACCAGTGGGGAGCCGGGGACTGAGCTGAAGACTGTAGGGAAAGAGCAGTCTGAGCAGCAGACGGAGCAGGGAGGTGAGCAACCGCGGGGAGGTGAGCAACCGCAGGGAGGGAGGAAGAGGCACAGAAATTCCCACTATAATCTCAACAATGGTAAATCCTGAAATACCCAAGATACGAGATTTTATGAATCTCAAGTACAAACAGAAATCTTTTCCCCATGCTCCCCCCACCACCTCCTCAATCAGAGGATCTGTGTGTACCAGCTCGTTACTCAGGCCAAACACAGCATCGTAACACAGTATCCTAATTAATCCTTTCAAGCTCTGATGTGAGCAGCTGACTTGCTGGGTGCTGATGTGATCAATTTCTGCATGAAGCAGCAGGGATTCAGGCCATGATTAAACTCTATATTCTACTTTATAAGACATTTTATCTAAAAGTTTTATTTCCTGGATATGAAACATTGCTTTGTAAGATGTTACACATTCTACAACTGTAATAACTGGTTTCCCTTGGTAGTCACTGTTCAGTAAAGTAAGTCTGAAAATGTTTTAATGAGCTCTGACGTGCAGATTAGGCAAGTTCACTGAATGTTAAGTATTCCATCATAAAATCTACAGTTTCCAAGAGCCAACATGCACAGAATTATTCAAAAAACAACTGCATGAAAAATACAGGGAAAAAAAAAAACAGAATACCCTTCCTCAGTAAGACTTTAAATATGACTTGCCGGAGTAAAAGCAGACCATCTATCTACAAAAGAAGCCTAAGAATTCAAATCTCGCTTTAGACTATAACTCAGCCTGCGATACCTCCAGGTGAAATCCCCAAAAACGTCTGGAAAAATTAATAGGTAAATTCCACAGCGGAGAACACATGCACTCTAGGAATAAGAAAGAATCCATGAAAGCATCAGAGAAACCACAGTTCAACACAATGCCCCAGGAACAAGTAGGCGCCCGGAGCTGGCACCACGAGAACAAGCAGGTGCCCGGGGCCAGCACCACCAAGACAGCACTTGGGGAAGACCGTCAGGCCTCATGTCTGACCACATGGACACCCTGCACTTCAGGAAAATGTAAAAACAGGCAAGCATGAAAGAACAATGTGCTAAAGAGAAACACGACAATGATTTCCCGATTTAACTGTTTAAAAACACCAACTTGTTCCTTTTCGGATTCTGTTCCACGATTACCTCCTCTGATTCTTTTAAAATCATTTCTGACACTTGACTCACATTAGGTCTCAGAGACACCAACAGGAGCAGGAGTGTCCTAGGCGACTCTACACCTCACTGCTCCTCCTCGAGGACGACTGCTCGGAGTACTGAGAGCTTTTCTGTTCTAGTTGGTAATAGTCACGATTGCCTCACTGCATAACTTAACATACTTCCGCTGAAATATACCTGAAGTGCCTTAAAAGGATAAAAAGCAATTTAAATTCATTTTCTCCTTTAAGACAAAAAAACCCTAAGACTCATTTATATGAGTATATGAGTATCTGTTATAAGAACAGATACTATCTATTACAAAGTGAAAACTGCAAAAGACTTACGTTTCCTTTCATTGTGGCTTTAAACTAGCCTGAACTTTAGTGTCTTAAACAAGAAAATTGAACTATCCTATATATTAGTGGATATAGCTGATTTCAGAATTCATTCTGTCATCTTTCAAAACACAAACTAACTAGTATAGAGTTGAAAATATCTCTTTTTGGGATACAAAGAATGGACAAACAGGGGAAAAACATTAAGACCAAAAATTCAACTAAACTAGGAAATCCTAGAAAGGCTGAGTGTGGAATGACAGGAGACCTTCAGTGCACCCACCAGGACCTCCCGCTCAGGGCAGCGGACCTGGCACGAGGAACACGGGGTGCATACTGTCTGGCCTGTGCCATCCAAGGTCTTGTACCCAATGCTACCAAGTATCCATTTTCAGAAATCCATTATTCCTATGCTATTTATCAATAAGCCCCTGAAACTGGCCATTTCTTTACCTCACAATTATACCACTCCGGCAAACTCTAAAAATTTATGTTAAATTGCTGAAATTTAAAGATGTAACTGTTACATTCAGAAAGCTTAAAATCTAAAGAAGCCCCCAGTACAGATACCATCAGTGGTCCTGGGAAAAGGCAGCCCCTCGGACCTAAAATGCAGTAATCCTGGTTTACTCTGTGTTCTCACACCTGAACCGTGCCCCCCGCACAGCATCTGCTAGGTAGACTGTTCCTAGGGGTGCAGGAGGAAGCTCGGGAGGAACGTATAGAAAAAATTTCAGGGAATTTTAGTGTGTTACATAGAATTCAAGACAGTTCTCGCTATAGCATGAGGAACTTAACAAGCTCTGAAAGAGGCAGTTGATGATAACAGAGGTGTCCTTTTAACACTGTTTACACAGTACCACATAAAACAATGTAGCTAATTAATGACATCCACTATCTGATCTTTTGTAAACAATGAAACCCTATGGTGTTCAAAGCTCCAAGAATGTATTCATTACCAAGTGTGAATACTTACTAGATTAGGTAACTATTGCAATTAAAACAATATTCAAGAGGGAATAAACAGACCAGGAGAAAAAGTCAAGAAATAGACCAATATACATAGGTAAACTTGCTATATGATATTATTAGTCCCCAACAAAATGATAAACTATTCAACACAAAATATCACTGTAGCACTGTTGTCTTTACTTTAAAAACGGGGAGGGAGGAGCAGGGTAGTAGTACAGCAAGCTAACCCTTAGTCTGTGGTGCCAGATCCCTCATGGGCCAGCTCAAGTCCCAACGGCTCCTCTCCCACTAGGCAGCACCCTAGTGGCTAAAGTCCTCACCCTGCACATGCTGGGTTTCTATACTGGTGCTGGTTTGAGTCCGGCTACTCCACTTCTCTTTCAACACTTTGCTTGTGGCGTGGGAAAGTAATAGAGGATGGTCCAAAGCCTTGGGACCCTGCACCCATGTGGGAGACCCAGATGAGGCTCCTGGCCCCTGGCTTCATATCAGCTCAGCTGCTGCCACTGTGGCCAAATGGGGAGTGAATCAACAGATGAAGATATTTCTTGGGTCCGCCAAGGTGGCCCAGTGGCTAAAGTCCTTGCCTTGAACAAGCTGGGATCCCGTATGGGCGCAGGTTCTAATCCAAGCAGCCCCAATTCCCATCCAGCTCCCTGCCTGTGGCCTGGGAAAGCAGTCAAGGACGGCCCAAAGCCTTGGGACCCTGCACCTGTGTGGGAGACCTGGCGGAGGTTCCTGGCTTCTGGCTTTGGATCAGCTAAACTCCAGCTCCTTGCGGCCACGTGGGGAGTGAATCAATGGACGAAAGATCTTCTTCCTCTCTGTATATCTGACTTTGCAATAAAAATTAATAAATATTTAAAAATATATTTCTCTCTGTAAGTTGGAGTTTCCAATAAAAATAAATATATTTTTAAAAAGTCTCAACTTATTTAAAAAAAAAAAAGATCTTCCTTTGTATTTGACTTTCAAGTAAAATAAAATCCTAAAAAAAATAGTGGAACCTTACTTCACATAAATATAATAAAAATAATTAAAAAAAGACATAATTTTAAAAATGTAATACATAAGTAAAAAATATCAGATTTTTTTTTCTTTGTCATAGATTTTTTTCATTGGAAAGCAAGATGGGAAGTGGAGCAACAGAACATGAACTGGCATCCATATGGGATCCTGGCACATATAAGATGAAAATTTGGCCACTAGGCTACCACGCCAGGTCCTAAAGATCAGTTCCACTTATCTTTGAAATGTACTATTTTTCTACAACTATTTTACATTTCTAACAACATTTTCCTTCAGAGAACAAAGTTCTCACGGCATGCATATAGAAGAGAAAGGTGTGATCAAAGGGCTTTCCAAGAGGCAGGAAAATCAGGTAAATACAGACTACACCTGCAGGAAGGAAGGGTGGGAGACAGGAGGTGGGGACAGCAAAAACAACCAGACCAGATCTTTGCACAATTTCACTGGAGAGAATCACCTAATTTAGTCTAGAAGCCAGCTAGTCACGGGATTAACGTTTTAAACCACAATGCCTGAATCCAACCTAAGTCCAAGCCAAGGAAAATATCAGCAACATATTCATTCAGGCATTCAATAAACACAAAGAGAACGATGGTAGAAAGAAAACCACTGTCCACAGTTTCATATCTCTAAAAGCCATGAAGCCTCTTTTGGTAATAAATCTAGGTAATAAAGCACTAAGTCTTGTTTCAGAAGCAGACCAAAAGCCATTACCAATTTTTCAATAACACAAAATGAAGAATATTATGAAAATATCTTAAAAATTATTCAAAAAATTTTTTCAAGACATTTAAATCCTAAGAAATGAAGGACAAAGAATCAACCACGGTGAGCCAGATTATGATGTTACGTAAAGGTCAAGGCTGCTGCTGAATAAGAAAAGGTTGGAATTGACATGTAACTCCATGAAGGCATCTACGTGACATACCACTAAATCTTGATCTTGAAGTAAGTTACAGATTGCTTCATAAAGCAAGGGTCGTAAGTCAGACTTGAATTTCACAGAAATCCACTGACCAATGAGCCAAATCACCCTGCGCCGCAACGGCTTATACCTGAACAGGGGAAAATGGGGAAATTAGAGAGTGAGATAGTTAAAGAGATACAGATGGGCATTTCAACATAAAATGCAGCAAGAATTTATATTTTTAAAATAAGTTTAAAAGCAGAGCAGGCATTTGGTGCAGCAATTAAGACATCCGTCTCACGCTGCAGTGCTTGGGGTCGACTCCCAGTTCCCCTGCCAATTCTACCTTCTACTGATGCCCTGCCGTGGGCATGGGAGGCTCAGCACTCCACAGCTCCATCTGTAAAATGATCTCTTCATTCAACAATTTCCACAACAAATACTAACTAAATGAGGTCTATACACTAAGCAGTTATTTTACTTTCTGCAGAGAGAGAGAGACCGAGAGATCTTCCACCTGCTGGTCTTTTCCCTAAATATCCTCGGTAACCAAGTCTGAGTGAGGCTGAAGCCAGGAGCCTGGCACTCAATCTGGGTTCCCCTGAGGCACGAGAGCAGAAGGCTGGACAGATGTGTGCTCAGGCCTTGAAGCAGCACTGCAGTGCAGCAGGGCATCCCAGCCGTGTCTGCGCTACTGCACGACACACCTCCACCTGCTAAGCACTCAGGCAGACGCGAGTTACACAGAAGTAAAGCCACAGAAGCACACTCTTAAAAAAAAACAAAGGTGCAGGACAGGAGGAGGCGGTTGAAATATTAGAACTAATAACCTGTAAAATCTGTGAAAGACCTTTCGTTCTTCTCGTTCAGTACTTAAACGATCAAACAAGCACTTGAATGTGTAAAAAAAGTAAGACCTAAAACAACACTAACATCATATGGAACTGTTACTGAAAACCTGAGTAAGAACCCTAAAAAGTATTCACATGCCTTTTCGCCATGCTATCTGTACACCTTGGTCTATTTCACCTCAAACACCTGCACACTGCTCTGTGCGGTCCCAGGCAGTCACCTGTCACGGGCCCCACACTGTGTAGTCTCCAACTGTCTCCTGGACAATTTCTCTCTGGAATTCAAGCAGCTTCAATTCCCCCTCACCTTTGCATACATTTTTTCTCCGAGTAAACTATGTTATATAATGTAAATAACTTCTTAAACATCACAATTCACATGTGAAGTAAAGTAACCTGCATATCATTCATGCAATTACCACGTCTTACTCCTCTCTATAAACAGCAGAAAACATTAAGTGGTACTGTTTTAAAAATTGTACTTACGTGTTATTCTCACCTTCATAAGAAAATCAATAAGGTAGATAAGTGCACAATGCACGCAAAGCTTTATACTTGCCTGTTGTGAATGACTTGTAGTTCTGGGAGAAGTTGGTTCTTAAACCACTGATCAAAGTCAACACTGTCAAACAGCTCATAAGCGGCTAATCCAGCAGCATTATACACTGGGAGAAATTAAAAAAAAAAAAAATCACACACTGGACAAAGTAAGAAGCTAAACTTTCAGGACTATTTTCAATTATACAATGTGTTATTTAAGGGAAAATACAGTAATCAGGGAAATTATTTAAAGACATTGTTAGAAACACGATTTTATTCCACTGTTCTTCCTAAAATACTCCTTAATCCCTTTAAACAGAAACTTAAATTCATTTCAAAATATTAAAATCATCTTCGAAAATAATGTCCGCTTCCCAGTGGGGGCAATGCGTACCATCCACTGGTTCCGCTTGTTGCACTGCTGCCTCAGGTCTCATAAAACCCAAACCTCCATGCTCCACTTCCAAATCACCTCAATCCGGGCTCTAGCTGCGCTTCCCCTGCTGGCCACTCTGCTGTGTGACTCAGTCCTCCTGCACTCCTTCTCCTTGAACTGCTAACAAACTCACTCTTGCACATTTGCATTTTCCTTTCTGAGGAGTCTTCCCCTGTCCACACTAAAACTATCCTGTGGGTGCTACCAATTTTAGCATCATCCATCACACATGATGTCAGAACTAATCTTCTACTTACTTGACTATCTCCTCCATCAGAAAGTTCCTGGGCTATTATGTCCCAACTCCCCTAGAGACAAAATCTATTTCCAAGCAGACTCATTAAATGAATAAACATTTCTAAACAATTAAAGTTTAACATACCAGCATCTTTGATTAATAATGCATTCATATCTTCCACATTGGTTGGCCCTAAAAGAAACGCATCAGGAAATGTAAATAAAACTAGTTTTCTTTAGTGTTTTTATAAATATAATAGTTGATTTTCCTGATCCAGTTAACCACAACAAATTTCAGACACTAAACGTGTATATAAAAAGAACACTGAGCATCTTACCATCAATTAACAACACAAGGATGGGTAGAGTACTAAACAATATTTAAAACTATGATACATTTGAAAATGTTACAATAATCACAGAAATATATACTACAGCTTGCTAACTTTAATTACACTCATATTATAAAGGAAAATTACGAAAAATAGGATAAAAAGATAAATCAGAGTAAAATAAAGAATGAGTAACCCAGAAAAGAGTAAAAATATAAATTAAACGTGTTGTGACAATGGGTTGACAATAAAGTAAAAAACGTAAACAAAGCGAGAGCTACTATGAAGCATGGAAGTAACTGCATAAAAAGTTGGCAGTCTATAAGGAAAAAATCATGGTTAACACAGAAAATATAATTTGCTTAGTGTTTCTCTTCAAATAGTCAATTTCTAAGAAGTTGATCAAAGTACTTTTAATTATAAAATTTTAAGCTTACTCTTCTAGATAAACAAATTGTTCCACAACTAAAAAATATATATATATATACTAAATATATACTAAACTCAAAATGCACTAAAAACCCTGCCGGTATACAGCACCTTAGAGCGCTAAGTCATTATTGTCATTGACTTATAAGTTCAGCAGACACTCTCCTAAGAACAAAAACCTAAAAGATGAGCTGTCCCCTTGCCACAAAACAAGGGCAGCAATCTCCTCCCACGGGACACTGTCTTCCTTCACTTGCAATAATTCAACCCCTTTACCCTCACTGGGAGAGTCTTGCCCCAACTAATCACACAGCCTACTTTTCCAAAGATCCCACCACCTTCTGCCTCCTGGGAGTACCTGACACCTCTGACAAAGCCCTCTTCACCCCCACAACGTCTGTTCCTATTTGTGCAGTAGTTTGTAGCTGTCCTTTTCTTTGAGGGCCTTTTTTACAGAATCGTATCATCGTAAGGCAAAACCCCAGGGTCTACACTTGAACATCATCATCTCTTCTCCCAAGACTCCCTCGATACCAACACTCCCAAACCCTCCCATCTCCAACCAGCACTAATGAAGGAAAACTCTTTCCTATCATGCAGACTCACAAGCAACAGCTTGGATCACTTTCCTTTATCTAGCACACTGATGATGTAAATGACAAAAGTTAGTCAGCTAATCAATAGTTACTGAGAATGTCACGCAGTGGGAATAAAATTACGAATAAAACAAACTTGATCAATAACCTCTGGAATCTACAGTCTAGCAGAAATGTCAGAAATCCTGAGTCAGTGCTAGCTAATGTGGAAACTACTCCTTGTGTGCAAAGCGCAATGATCAAGTGTCTCAAAGTTGCTGCATCTTCCTCCCTTAAACCCATTACCTTTTCTCCCAACTGTCACCATTCTAACTGATGCTAGCATTTAGTTTAACCATCCTTTACTGCTTCCCACAACATGCTTCAAACAGTTTCATCAAGTAATCCGACTGCTGCTTTGCTTCTGCTGCCACTGTGTTTACAAGAGCAGAGCCAACTATCAGGGTCCGAGTTGTCACTCAAGGCCTGCCTCAAATGCCCTGCTTCATTAAAACACATATTTTATTTTTCAAATTCATAACCATTAAATAACATAAGAAACACTGCTCTGTACATGGTGGGCGCTCAGTCTACTTTAACTGAATAATAATTAAACAGATAGATCAAAGAACCACAAAATATGCCTAACCTTGAAGTGTCTGCATCATCTCCAGAAGCACAGGGGTGAGAGTCTGGTTATATTCATGGAATATATCTATAAACAGTACTTCAGTACAAGGCTGCAACGGGGAAGAAAGGGACAAATCCCAATTACAGACATGCTACCGTAAATAACTACAATAACTACAGTACATAATAACTACTGTAATTAAATAACTACAATAACATAAAGGACACTTTTTTCTTTAAGTTTCGAAGCGATTCCTCTGAGATGTACACTAATTCGTAAGAGAAATAACACACCTTTTTAACAGTATTACTAGGAGACAACTTTAACAAATATTTTGCCTTTGGTATGACAATTATTTCACATGAGCTTAACCAAAAGTGAAGAAAATTTCAATTTGCAAATTGAAAAGCAAATATGAAGAAAAAAATCAGATGAAAATTTAGAATATAAGTACTTTCAAACAAAGCTTCTTGCAGTTCTGAACAGCTTCCTCTGATTTCACTACTAACATCTACAACAGGTGGCCTCTCTATCACACACTCCAGAAGAATTAAGAATTCTCTCGTCGGTTTTTCTTTCAATACTTACCCTCAAACTGTATTTCCAAGAATCTCCTCCTGTTTCTTCCACTGCTGTAATTTAAAACAAAGCAAATTATGTTCTTCAGAAATGTAATAATGAGGTTTGCAAAATCCCAGTTTGGAAAATAAAAATGTGAAAAACATGAACACCATCAGCACTGACATCACTGGATAACAGCATCACCACCACCCGAGAAACCCTTCATTTCATCACAGCAACTGTTTCCCGACTTATAATTTGCCAATCTTTACAAATATTTCCTATGTTTAAAGGAAAATACTTTGACTTTAAAAAGCCTAGGGAATGCTTCACATTACAGTATTAACTATAGTGCACAATACTGAACAAATCAAAGGGGAGAGGGAAAAGGGGAAGGATGGGATGGGTGAAAGGAAAAGATGGAGGAAACTAAATGACATATTCATTAGGAAAAGAGTAAAACCAACAAAGGCTGTTCCGTTAACTAAAACTATTTCTAAGCGACAATAAGGAGAAAGATAAATATTCCAGAATATTAAACTACTAGAAAATGTGTGCAGCCACATGACCATCAAGCCTAAAGGATAAGCAGAGGCTACCACCTAGCCTCTACTGAAGTAACCTACACAACACATGAGGTTCTGGGTTTACATACTAAAGGATCTGATAAAATTGACACTACTTATACCTATGCCAATAAAACTCAAACTGATAAAGATGTCTCTGGACTCAGTATCATAGCCTGATAGCTAAGGTCCTCCCCTTGCATGCGTCAGCATCCCATACAGGTGCCAATTCATGTCCTGGATGCTCCACTTCCCTTCCAGCTCCCTGCTTGTAGTCTGGGAAAGCAGCCGAGAACAACCCAAAGCCTTAGGATCCTTCACCTGAGTGAGAGATCCAGAAGAAGCTCTTGACTCCTGACTTTGGATCGGTTCAGCTTCAGCTGTTGCAGCCACTTCGGGAGTGAACCAGTGGGCGGAAGATCTTTGCCTCTCCTTCTCTCTCTATAAATCTGACTTTCCAATGCTATTTTGTTTAAATTTAAAATCAGGACTTGGAGTTTGGTTCCTCCCATAGCATAGGGTATAGTTCAAGTCCCAACTCCTCTACCATCTTCCTACTAATGGCCCAAGTGCACTGGTCTCGCCAAGCACACTGAGGAGACAAGGACTGACGGCAGGGTTCCTGGCTGCTCACAGTGACTGGGTTTAATCACACCAGTTCTTCACTACAGCTTCCTACTAGTGCAGACGCGGGACGTAGCTACTGAAACTACCACGTCCATCTCATTCACATGCAGGTCCTCACTGCATTCCTGGCTCCCAGCTTTGGCACTGGCCCAACTAGGTGACCGAGGGCACTCAGGGAGCAAATCAGTAAACAGGAGCTTTCTTCTCCTTCTGATTCACAAATAAGAAAAAGTGTGTTCCCATTATTCAAATAAATATCTACTTATATAAAAGGAGAAAAGCCATGCCACAATGGAAAATTAGTTCTTACTAAAGCCTTCCGGGTCTTCTTCCCACATGGTCAGTTCCTCTTCGGTTAGCAGAAAATAGTGAGAGACTAATCTTCGACAGATCTCTGTCAAGGTAGGATACGTGAAGAATGCCATTTTAATCTTGTGGGCTTCAAGTGTTTCGGGGCTGCTATCTAGAAAAATACAATTTCCAAGTTAACTGTATGAGGTAGCACTCTACCTAAGGTACATAATCAAATAAATATTTATACAGAAGCAGCTTTCACATCTCCCAGATTTCCTCGTCCATTGTACACATGCATGTAAACCAATGCCATATAACGCAACATCCTGTTACAAGCAATCCCACTAAATAAAAGCCTTTAATGTTGTAACATAAGTGTGAGTACAGCCTACAACATAAGCTGCAGTGGTTCTTGCAGTACTCAATTCTTAAAGGATCTGAAGTCTGAAGCGCTGTAAAGGCTGTTTACTAAATGTACTGCATGCTTTCTTGGGGAAAAGCTGGTATTCACTAACTAAAGACTGCAATCCTTATCTATATTTCATATCCTTTAACAGTTTATTTTTCAGAGTAAAATAAGTGAATTTCCAAAAACTTATAACAAAAGATCAATTATTTCACAGAGTAAAACAAAGAAAAACAATTTTTGAACTACCAGTAAAGCATTACCTTCAAAATTTTTAGATGGCTTATAAGCATAATTTTTGACAATCATCTTAATAAGATTCATGCACTGGACTATGAATCGCTCAAACGTAACACCTTCACCAACGTCGGTAAAAACATAGCTTACAGAAAATTCCAGGGATCTCTGAATTAGAGGAGTAAATGAAAAGGGATGCTGATCCAAGAAGTCCAGAAGCTATAAAGAAAGAAATTAAAATGCATTTTCCCAAATTCATATTAGAACACAGTCACGCCAATTAAAACTCTTCTAATACATATTTAGCAACTGTTAGACCTGGAAAGTGTCTATATATGAAATTGTACAACTGTGATGCCCCCTCTGGGCTACATGGTTTATGATAGATTACATTAATTCTGCTTCATAAAGATTTTCAGTTCAGGGACAAAAACAAACCCACTTCATACTTCCCTGGAAAACAGTAAACACAAAGAAAAAAGTTTAAGAATATAAGATCTAGGCCTTCAAAAAGTTATAAAGCAAAAGAACTAAAAAATGATCCTTTCTTGCACAAACTGTATTTGGATTTATCAAACAGTTGATACGGGAATTTCTTTATCAAAGAGTCCAATTAATAAAGGTAAAGAAAATAACAGAATTAGAACACCATCATTTTATAACCTTCTAATCAAATGAAGGACCCAGACAATGAAGAAAAATGGCAATTAAATTCAGAAGACAGAGGCTGTCACAGAACTGACAGCTCACTCATCCTCAGGCACACCACACAAGAGACAAGCATTGTGATCCGATGGAACCAACTAGCAGGCATTCTGTTTATGCCTATCCAAAGTGCACCAAAAACAAAAATAAATAAAAATCCACATCTCAATGATATTACACCACCAAATCATACTACAAAGTTATAAGAAACAGAAGGGCAAGGGAGGATGCAAAGGAATATGTTGAATGATATCTAGGGATATAAGATTAATCCAAGATGCAGAAAAATCTACTGGAACATGAAGACTGGAAAAATGACACTATTTCACCCAAATTCACATAAAGCAGTGAAAAATTTATAAAACAATCAGAGAAATCTGAAACGTGATATTTTGATACTAAGAAATTCATTGTTATTTTGAGCCATAACGATTATGCCAAAATCTTTTTTTCTTTCTCTTTCTTTGTGTATTTGTTTTTATGGTAAAGGCAACCTGACAGAGACAGAGTGGGCTTCCATCTGCCACTTCACATCCCAGACGTCCAAAACACCAGGCAAGGCAGAATCCAGGCTGCGGGAACTACAGCAGGCTCTCCCACATGGGTAAGAGGGACGCAGGTGTTTGAATAATTGTCACAATTTATATAAAAAAGAAAATGTGTCTGTGTGTGAGTGTGCATAATAAAGACACAAGCTTTTGAGGTGGGAGCCTGGGACAGCAGCCAGACGTCCTTGGTATATTCACAAGAGCAGCAGAGTGCCTGGGGATAAAGTGCACCCTAAGTGTCAGCAGGTGACACCGTGCTCCCAGCCACCTTTCTAAGGAAGCTGCACTAAACTCCTTCCAGGCCCCTTCCTTCAGCCTTGCCCAGTCACGGCTGTCACAGGCACCAGAGGGTGAACCGCAGGATGCAAGATCTCTATCCGCCCATCTCTCCAAAAAAGCAAATATCTTCGGGAAAAAAATCAAAAACAGAAACAAAAAACCAACTTCATTGCTTAAAAACAAATACTCAAATCTTTTACAGTTATATTACGGAATATCTGGGGTTTGCTTGCGGGGAAGGGGAATCTTTTCTGCCAAGGCCTTCGAGATACACATAACATCTTTCATGGACCACACAAAACTATCCACTTACAATCTAGCCTGTTGGGGCCAGAGTGGTGGCACAGCATGCTAATCATTTGGCTTTCAAGCACAGGTATCCCATACTGGATACCAGTTCATGTCCCAGCTACTCCACTTCTGATCCAGCAACCTGCTTATGGCCTCCAAAAGTAGCAGAGGATGACTCAAGTCCTGGGTTCCTGTACACCCATGCGGAAGACCAAAGGAAGCTCCCAGCCCCAGGCTTTGGAGCAGCTCAGCCCTAACCATTGCAGCTGGTTGGGGAGTGAACCAGCAGATGGAAGATCTTTCTCTTCTTTGGAAAAAAAAAAAAAAGCTGCCTTTCAAATAAAAATAAACAAATCTTTACCCAAAAAATCAACCTTCTGCACAGCTTGACTATATTTCAAGTCCCGCCTGCCACCTGCCACTGTCTGAGCAGAGTCAGACCAAGTGATTGTGCAGACCTTATGCAGTCGAGAAACCAGCCACTCCCAGCCCTGCAGTAATCAGGAACCATGGCAAAGGAAACACACGGGTCCAACAGGATGGACCTTGACCATATGCTGATAACTGCTCATGAGGATTCAGTTATTCAATTCTATTTAGAGGTATAATTCAAATGTTCCAATTTCCAAATTCCAAACTTTTATGCTTATTAGAGTACTAGATCATAAACACTAATTTCATACATGAAACTGTTTTTCAGAAAAGAAAAATACTATAGATAACATCTATGACATTAAGTAAGAAATTGAAAGAACTGGAAAAGAAAAATTCAGTAGTAGAATAATCAACGTGGTCCCGAAAACAGACTAGCCAAATTTAGTTCATAAATTCATACATTTCAGTTATATAACTGACAGATCACACTGGGGCTACTGAAAGTAAAAATATGGGGCTGATTTCGTGGCTCAATAAGTTAACGTTCCACATGTGGATGCTGCTTCATGTTCTGGATACTCTTACTTCCAATCCAGCTCCTTGCTTACAGGCTGAGAGAACAGCTGAAGATGGCTCTTTGAGCCCTGCACCCACATGGGAGAGCCGGAAGTTACTAGCTGCAGATCAGCTCCATTCTACCTGCTGTGGCCATCTGTGGAGTAAACCAGCAAACAGAAGATATCTCTCTCTCTCTCTTTCTCCTGCTCTCTGCAAATCGGCTTTCCAAATAAAATTAAGCAGGTCTTTAGAAGATTGAGAAAAAAAAAAAAAGCAAGGATGTGGGCAAGTTTCTGTGACAGCTCCACTGACAAACTAGGTCATCCCCTTTCACTTTCTTGCATCTTTTAACTTAAAACATGTGAATCAATTTTCCAGAGAATTAGGCAGGCTTTGCCACTGAGGTTATCTGCAACATGAGGAAGGAGGACAATACACACTAACGTCGACAACCAGAGAAAAAAGCAGCTTCAGTCAGTCACATAAGCACACTCAGTCCCCAGTACCTGCTGAGTGCAGAGAGCCCCACAGCAGTTCTCATTCCTCGAATCCAGTTTTTCATGGTTCTACCAATCTTTCAGACCCAAATTTCATAGAAATTCATGTTTTATGAGACATTTTTCAGAAATGTACACACTATCTAGCACATTATACCTATAAATCTATTCGAAAGATACGATATTGATGATTATAATCTGATTGTTCTGAACACACTTGCTGACACAGGACCTGCTACACTCCCTGCTGACTCCAGTGGGTATAAGAATAAAGAATTGCAGAGGAATCAACCGCCCTAGCATGTGCCTCACTGATTTTTTTTTCCACAGCAAAGCAATTTATGTATGTTACATAAATGCAACGTACATTCTGAAGGCTTTAAAATATTAAGGTGATTTTTAGTTTTACAGAGTAAGAAGGTATGTTTCTTTATGCCAAAAGTGAAACTGATATTATGAAAACATCATTTTGCCTCCTAAATTTCAGTGTATGCATTATTTTTGAGAAAACAAACAAGGTAAAAAAGAAAAAACAACTTACCACTTTAGTAAAGAGAATGATGGTCTTTTCCAATCTATCTCTACATACATTATCTGCAGTTATATTTCTACCTGTTAAAATAATTTCAAATATTACTATACATTTTAAGTCTATAAGTTCACAATTCAAAAATTTTACAAACATAATATTTCTAATATTTTTGCATATTTTACACAATAAATTATTTACAAAATTTGCACGTAGGAACAAACATAATCGAGTGGCCACATTGTGCAAAAATGACCCTTTAATATAAGCTAGATCCATTTTAAAGAAAAACGCTATCAATCTGGTGGCAAGCATTTGAGAGAAGTTAAGACACCCAAATCTCAGATCAGAATGCTTTGGTTCCTGCCAATTCTGACTCCAGGAAGTATCGGGGATGGCTCAGAGTAGCTGAGTTCCTGCCACGCAAGAGACATGGACTGGGTTCTAGCCTCTTTGCTGCAGCCTTGGCCAGAACCAGAAACTGTACTCTTCCTGTCTCTGTCTCTCAAGTAACTAAATCAGCACTGGGTTAGAGCAAGTTACCACCCGCTGCATGCAACGCCAGCATCCAGTATCAGAACACAGATTCAAGTTCAAACCGGAGCCTCAGCTAATGTGCCTGAGAAGGCAGCAGAAAATGAACCACCGATGAGGGTGTCACTCTTGAGAGACCCAGATAGAGTTCCTGGCTCTGAGTTTCAGACTGGAACATCCCTACCCATGTCCACCATTGGGGAATGAACAGCCAGAGAAAAGATCTCTCCTTCTCTGCATCACTCTACCTTTCAAACAAATAAATGTTTTAAAACCAGTGACACCAAATCAAGTAAAGCCACCACTTGCAATCCTGGGATCCCTAATGGACAATGGTTCAAGTCACAGCTGCTCTACTTTCAAAGTAGCTCCTTGTTAGTGACCTGGGAATATCAGTGGAAGAACACTGTAAGTGTTTAAGTTCAGGCCACTCACGTGGGAAACCTAGAGGAAACATCTGGCTTCTGTCTGTGCAGTGGACGGCATGCCCACATGCACATGGGAACATAGCAGATCACTGAGGTCAGCAGAGGATGTCTACTACCATGGAGAGCAGAACAAACTGGACAACTCTTCCGGGCAAGCTTCAATAGCAAGTATCTGTGCAAGTGGAAACTCTAAGGTAGACTATGTCAGTCAATGAACTTTAGAAGGATTTCCTCAACTTTAAAGCAATGAAATCAACAGCATCTCAGAACTATCCAAAACCACTTAAACAGTACCCTCAGACCATGCTCCACATCAGGGACTTGGGATAATACTCAGTGACGGTTCCACATCCTCGGGTACTGGTGTGGTTAGGCTTCCAAGAGTGGTCCTCTCACCCTTTCCACAGATACTAGGAAAGGAAGACTGGAAGCAATTGTATCACTCCCTCCTCCTTTTTTAAACATTTATTTATTTTTATTGGAAAGGCAGATTTACAGAGAGAAGCAGTGACAGAGAGAAACATCTTACAGCTGCTGGTTCATACCCCCAAGTGGCTGCATCAGCCAAAGCTGAGCCAACCCGATGCCAAGAGCTTCTTTTGGATTTCCTGCATGGGTGCAGGCCCCAAGGCCTTGAGCTGTCCTCGATTGCTTTCCCAAGCCACAAGCACAGAGCTGGATGGGAAGTGCAGCAGCTAGGACATGAACTAGCACCAACATAGGATCCCAGTGTGTGCAAGGTGAGGATGTAGTCACTAGGCCAACAAGCCAAGCCCAGAAGCCGTTGTTCTCAACCACTTTTCCCCATTCCTTGGCACTTCCCAGATAATCCGTGGTCCACATGGGTATGCATCCTTCTCAACTGTATGAACATCATCAAAAAGAACTCTATTATGAAGAAAGGAACTTTCTGACTTCTGGTTTTGGACTAGCCCCATTCTGGACCTGGTGGCTATAAAAGCAATGAACCAGGGGATGGAATCTCTCACTCTCTCTGTCTCTCTCTCTTTCTCTCTCTCTCTCTCTCTCTCTCTGTGACTCTCAAAATAAAGAGATCTTTTTTTAAGAAAAAAGCAAAATAAATATTTCTAAAAAGGGCAGCAGTTTTAGAAATGAATCATGAAAACGCAGAGACTAAATCACATAAAATGTTTTCCAAGCAACTTAACATGATCAGGTAACAATAAACCCATCATTTGTAATACTTCAGATGAATTTCTTTGATAAGTTCCCTCGCATAATTAATTTCTGTACATCTAGTCCACGAGTACATGAACTACTACGTATTCTCTAATGAAATTTTATATTGTTTTGTCATTTATATCATTCCCTTCTCCCCAAGATGTCTTCTTTTTTTCCAGTGTAATTCCCACAAGGAACATCAGAAAAAAATTGACTTTTAGAAAATAGTTTATGTAAGGAATTCATCTTAGTAACCTACACATATATATATTAGCCACGACAGTGCCTGCAACAAGCTCAATGTCTTTCTATTTGACAACAACAAAACACAGCCAGCAGCTCACACAGACTGACTAGACTCAGACATCTTCTCAGGGCAGGAACCTCCCAAACACACAAGCGCATACGCAGTGGGAATCCTCGGGAAAAGTGCTTAAAATACACCAGCAGCAAAACCAGCCCAAACGTAGCCAGCAGGTTAATGAACAGAGACCACGGACAGAACAAAATTGTCACTTAGAGACGTCATCAGGATACATAAGCGAGCCCACCGAAGTCTGAACAAGCAGGTGGAATACAGTCTGCGTGTTCACAAAACATGACTGCCAGGACCTGCCCATATAAGGCAGTAGCAATGGAAATAGAGAAGAAAGCAGGACAAAAAAGAAGATGCAGCTGAAAGAAGTTTCCTCAGGGTTGGTAATGGGAAAGCTGCTGCCTGCAGAGTTGGCTGCCCACACGGGTGACAGATCGAGACCTGGCTGCAGCACTTCGGCCCCAATTCCCTGATAAAAGCACCTGGGAAAGCAGGAGAGGGTGAAAGTCCTTGTGGCCCTGGACACACATGGGGGAGAACCAGAGGGAGCTTTGGGCTCCCAGCTGAAGCCTGGCACAGCCCTGGCCACTGGGATGATTTGGGGAGTGAAGCAGACAAGGAGAGATCTTTCTCTCTCTTCACTTTCTCTCTCGATCCTTCTCTCTTTGTCTCTACTTATAGCATTTAAATAAATTAAATAAACCTATTTTTTTTTTAAAAAAAAAGGTTTCCTATATAATTCGCATGACAGGGTGGTATGTCACACAAAGCTATTAATTTCAGAAAGTTAGTTATCGATATGTAAGAAACTAATTTTAGCCACATACAGGATCTCTGCAGAAACCAAGAGCTGACTCAGAAAATTCAAATAACAGCACGCTCAGATGAAACACTTTCTCCAGAGATGTATCTGCATCCTTGTTAGCCTATCATTTATTCAAGCTATTAGTAAATAAAGTAAGGGAAGTCAAGAGTCTAAAGTAAAAAATACTGCGACAAAAGTACTTACTGCATTCCAGAAACTGTTTTAAACGTTCAAATATTCCATGCAAAAAACCCTGAAAAAGAATATATTTTGAAGTACTTCAACTTACTCTGTTAGGAGCATTGACCTTGCGCATGTTTCATTTTCTCAAAAACAAGAAAATATATATAGCACATCATTTCAAGCAATCAGCTTTAGAAAAATAAAATAAAATAAAAAATACCTAATTATAAACAAGTCTTATCCAAGAAACAGACCAGCATTTTACACCTTTAATATCTCATTTCAGATTTAAATATTTTGCTATAAAATTATTTATTACTGTTTTTCACCTGCTATATTTCCCTCCACAGGCCTCACTATCCCTACACATACTGTTTATCAATGCAGTATGGAGTTGCTTCTGTTAGAATACAAGGTCTTTGAAAGATACAACTTGACTATGTTTGTAGCACAAGAGAATCCAGAAGAGCGTCTGGCATTTATAGATACTTAAAAATACATAAATGTAACCAATTATGGAAAACACATGTTCTCAACTGCAATATTAGCCCTCAGATACCACAAAAGCAATATTATATACTATGTTTTTAAACACAGAAGATATATAATTTTAAAACACAGGGTTACACAGTAGCATCATTTTTCCCAAGAGATTTTTGTGTTTCCGTGCTGGGGTCCGTGCAGTAGGTGTGGATGACACGAAGGTGTGCAGAGAACAGCTCCCTGCTTGGCAGGGCCCAGGGAGCTTCCAGCTGTTTGGCAGGGCCCGGTGGATTTCTCTCTGACCACCTTGACACTGTCTCACCCCCGTTTGCATGGACACTCAAGCACCCCACTAAGAATTCTGTAATCTACTGAGGCATTGTTGTTTGCCCCTGTGAGATGGTTTTTGCAACTGATGTGAGCTTGAGAGTTAATGTCACTGATAATGTCTTGGTGAGTGGGTCTTTGACAATTTACACACAGGAGCACAATTAAGCCCATGCCATTTTTGGACACCTTATTGGGTACTTAACCATTGTCTTAGAATTTGGCCCAGACATGTAGCACACCTTCTGGGAAAGGGCTTGATAAATATCCTAAATATTAATGCAAGTGATGGAAGTGAGGGCTGAACTGTTTTGGCAATAAATATATTTATTGTGATCTCAAAGGTCAGTCTGTCTTTCAGTTTCTTTGGAGCATAGAAAATGTAGCTGTTTTAGCCACCTTCAAAATTTTTTAAATAGAGGAAACACAGGGTGACTTTATTAACATCATAGAGATATACTTTTGATTATTGTTTGATTGTTTATGAGGTTGTAGAGCCTGCAGTTGTAGGGGGATTTAATGTTTGAAACTTTTTGTCTTAGATCATTATGTTTTTTCCCTTTTGATGTATTTCTCCCACTAAGTGATAGATAAGTTGTGAAAATAAAATGTAGTAGGAATATATTACTGATTAGCAAGTAACCATCTGTGCCTTGGCCCACCTGGTTGACCATGAAGTAAAAAATAAAATAATCAAACATCTGTGCATACCCACTTAGTCATGAAGTAAAAATAGAACAATCAAATGATTGTGCAGAGGCTTGTGATGTGTCTGAGTAAATAAAAAGGACAGCTTCTTCTTGAGCTCAAGCAAGAAAGTGACAGTGTCTGTGTCTTTCTTTATCGCCGACTCCACACACCCTTCTCGAGCTCCGAACTCAGCTGGAGCTGGACTCCGGCATTTCCGTTCTGTCACTCATGTGTTGGTTACTCAGTGGCACGTGTTTTTCATGGTGCTGTAATTTATTGTTGTTGTGGCTGTTCTAACTCATACCAGTTGTTGACCTTGTTTCATGGCTTCTCAATTATGGAAATGTATAGTGATGGAGTACTGGGGTCTACCATATCCAGATGTGGGGGTATAATGGAACATGCATCCCTGCTTCCAGACGAAAGATGGATTCCCAGTGAAACTGTTGGACATGTGTAGACAATGGGATGCTGGACTGTCTGACATTGTCTGTACCAGCAATGTCGGGGTACACTTAAATAAGAGACTGATTGAAGTCCTTATGAAGGACTATACCATTGTAGCAAAATGGGGAAAAATCTGTCGGAAGGTGGAAGTTTGTGGGGGGGAGGGGGAATCCCAGCCTGTATGAAATTGTACCACAAATTTAAAATTCAACATAAAAATGTATTAAAAAGAAACAAAAGGATATTGTAAAAACAGTTTTAATACGAATCTAAGCATAATAGATACCTTTGTAACAGCAGATTTTTATGTACAAACATAAAAGATGTCACACGAGCTTTTGGCAAGTAAGATGCTCTAGTACGTCAAAAACGTCGCCTAGCCAGCTGGCATGATGGTTCACTGTGCTGTACCTCAGACAGCAAATGTCAAGATCTCATATGGGTGCTGATTTCTGTCTTCTGTCTGCTCCACTTCCCATCCAGCTCCCTGCTTGTGCCCTGGGAAAGCAATCGAGGATGGTCCAAAGCTTTGGGACCCTGCACCCATGTGGGAGACCCGGAAAAATACCCTGGCTGGTGAATTTGGATCGGCTCAGCTCCAGCCTTTGCAACCACATGGGGAGTGAACTAGCAGATGGAAAATCTTTCTCCGTCTCTCCGTCCTCTTTTCTTTTTAATTTTATTACTTTTTTCAGAAAGGCAGATTTTAAAGACAGAAAGAAAGGTCTTCCATCTGCTGGTTGAGTTCCCAAGCGGCTACAACAGCCAGACCTGAGCCTATCCAAAGCTAGGAACCATGAGCTTCTTTCAGTCCTAACACATAAGTTCAGGACTCCAAGGCTTCAGGCCATCCTCTACTGCCTTCCCAGGAAACAAGCAGATGGAAGGAAAGTGGAACAGCCGGGACACAAACTGCCCATATGGGATTCCAGCACTAGGAAAGCAAGGATTGAGTTACCAAGCAATCACTCTGGATCTTTTTCCTTCTCTCCTTAAAACTGCTTTTGTGAGCCTGGCACAGTAGCCTAGTGGTCCTCACCTCACATGTGCCAGGATCCCATATGGGTGCTGGTTCTAATCCCAGTGGCCCCACTTCCCATCCAGCTCCCTGCTTGTAGCCTGGGAAAGCAGTCAAGGATGGCCCAAAGCCTTGGGACCCTGCACCTGCATGGGAGACTCAGAAGCAGCTCCTGGCTCCTGGCTTCGGACTGGCTCAGCTCTGGCCATTGCAGCCACTTGGGAAGTAAATCAGTTCTGTCTTTCCTCTCTGTACATCCTACTCTCCAATAAAAATAAATAAACCTTAAAAAAGAAAATTATTGCCTTTCCAATGAGATATAAATCAATCTTTTAATAAGTTAATTAATTAAATTTTTTCTAAAAGACCAGCAGTCATTCCCATGTGGAAGACTCAGAAGTAGCTCCTGGTTCCTGGCTTTGAATCAGCTTGGCTCCTGCTGCTGCAGGCATCTGGGGAGTGAATCAGAGGATGGAAGATCCTTCTCTCTGTAACTCTTTCCATTAAAAATAAATAATTTTTTTTTAAAGTTTACTAAAGTTGATGGACTTCAAGTTATCAAAGAACCAGAAATTTACATAATTGTGCACAGCTGGCTAATCTGAAGTCCAAATAAACTAATTTAACTAATAATATACAGAACGTGGGAGGAAAAACACAAAATCACCACTAAATGGTAATTTACAGAATAATGAATTGCTAATCTCAATACAAAAATCATGAGCTCCTTTAATCCTCACAGTACGCAATGAAGTAAGAACTATTATTCCATCTACAAGCACAATAAAGGAAACCAGATATCAAAGTTAGCTAATTCACCCAAGACCACCATAAATACATGAATCTCTACTTTTTTTAAAAGATTTATTTCCTTTTATTAGAAAAGTAGATTTGCAAAGAGAAGGAGAGACAGAAAGATCTTCCATCCACTGCAGGATCCCAAGGCTTTGAGCCGTCCCTGACTGCTTTCTCAAGTTGTAAACAGGAAGCTGGATGGGAAATGGAGCAGCCAGTTCCTCATTTTATTGTCCCGGTCTTCTTAGGAGCTTTTCAGGTAGATGGATTGCTCACCAGTAATTTTCCACTCTAAATAAGCCTTCCCTTTAAAAATGAGCCATACATTTTTCTCTATATATACAGATTCTACAAGCAGCAGAAAAACTACATTTCCCTTTAAACACATGAAGACTAACCAAAAAGATGCCTAGGATATGAACAACGCTCTACAATAGACCTTGAAATATTTATAATAACATCCCAATTAAAGGAGTAATTTAAATTAACATTCTCTACCTGCCAGGGCATCCTGACAAGTTTCCTGGGGTTATTTCCTCTGCAAACAGCAATTTGGTCCGTTCTCACAGAAAGGATACCACAACACACAAAGAATGGTAAGAGATTTAAAAAAAAAAAACCTAAATGGCTTCTTAGTAAAACCTGCATTAAATCAGTTTCAAGAAAATAATACATTAAAAATATTCAAGATAATACTAAGCTCTGTTCCAAAATCATAAAAAATAAATCACTGTCACTTACCATCACCTCCATATTCTTGTGTGGCTCCACAAATCCATTAACAGTCAATTTACGTAACACTGAAAAGCAAGATGAAATCTTTACTTGAATTTTATTTCATTATGTCTTATTCTATCAAAATCACAATCATAATAAAGACAGAATTACTAAACCTAATCAAGCCTGAAGATTCACCTGATAGAATTCTTTCGTTTACTAAATAGGGAAAACAAGCCTAGGTCACATGTGATCGGTGACAAAGCACCTAGAGCAGTGTTGTTGCTGACTGTAAACTGGTATTTATGAAATTACACTTCAAAATTCCATTTAATTTGGGATCACTGCTGTGGCGTAGCGAACAAAGCCACTACCTCTGACACTAGCATTTCACAGGAGCAAGAGTTCATGTGTGACTGTTCCACTCAGAACCCAGCTCTCGGCCAATGGGCAGGCAGGGATCAACAGAAGATGATTCCAAAGCTAGGAGTGCAGCTGCCCGCGCGGAGACTCAGGATTCCAGAAGTTCCCGGCTTCTTCCCAGCCCGCCACTGCAGTCACTTGGAAAGTGAACCAGCAGATAAAATGTCTCTCTTTCTCTTTTCTCCATCTTCCTCTCTAATCCAGCCTTTCAAACACATTTTTTTAAATTTAGTTTAACTTACACGACTGCTGCTACTTCTTACCTGCAATAATTGAAACTGAGAAGTCTTCAACAAGGTTGAGCTAGGACTCAACGTAACCCAGGACCTCACTTAGTTTAAGCTACAGTAAATTAAACACCAATATCTCCTTGAAAGAATATAAAAAAATAAATATTTTTCCAAATCTGAAAAACTGAGCTATGGTACAAGTTTGACACTTGATGTTAGCCAAAAGGCTTAGAAGCGATTGTACTCAACTATAAACACTGTACTTATTAACACTGGCAAACTAGGGCCCATAGATAGGTGGGATAGATTTAAAGCCACAGCAAGATGGAAATCCTTGCTCCAGACTCTAGTTAGTTGCTTTGCACTATCCCAGGTCTCACTTCCTTAACTATAAATGCCACTTCATACAAATTTGTTACAGGTTCCAATGGTATAATTCAGCAACATTTCAGTAACAAAAATGATGACGGCCTAAGAGACAGAGTGACAGATGTTTTACTAAATAGGCACTGCTCTCTATGTTGTGCTGAAGAATTATCTTCTAGAGTGGTCAGTGGGGAACATCTGGCTCGCAGGCAGGACTCAAAGTTCAATCAATCCATTGCAGGTTAATTTTTGTTGTTGTTGTTGGCTTTTTTAAGTGCTTTATTTTGATAATCTTTACATAGTTGATTAGGGCACAAAGCGTCAAGGGGTACAGGAAAGACTATTCTTTCCACATTATAGCTTTTTTGTTTGTTTGTTTCTGTATCTGGGGTAAATGGGGAAATAAAGAGAGAAGCATCGCCCAACCTCCCACCCATCCCAGGTCCCTGATGTGGGGCATGCTCTGTGGGTCCTATAGCAGGTTAGGTTTTTTTTAAAGATTTATTTATTTTTATTGCAAAGTCAGATACACTGAGAGGAGGAGAGACAGGAAGATCTTCCTTCCAATGATTCACTCCCCAAATGACTGCAACAGCCACTGCTGCGCCGATCCGAAGCCAGGAGCCAGGAACTTCCTCTGGGTCTCCCATGCAGGTGCATGATCCCAAAGCATTGGGCCATCCTAGAATGCTTTCCCAGGCCACAAGCAGGGAGTGAGATGGGAAGCGGGGCTGCCAGGATCAGAACCAGCACTCATATGGGATCCCGGCGTGTTCAAGGCGAGGACTTTAGCTGCTAGGCCACGGCACTGGGCCCAGAGCAGGCTAATTTTTGACACTGATGATTCTGGTGCCCAAATGGCGATATAGGCAAATGGCCCTTGTCAGAGCAAAAGGGTTTCCCACCACGGAGTAGAAAGTACTCATAAGAAGTCTAAAGATGGGCCCGGCGCTAGAGCAGTGTTGTTGCTGACTGTAAACTGGTATTTATAAAATTACACTTCAAAATTCCGTTTAATTTGGGATCACTGCTGTGGCGTAGCGAACAAAGCCACTACCTCTGACACTAGCATTTCACAGGAGCAAGAGTTCATGTGTGACTGTTCCACTCAGAACCCAGCTCTCGGCCAATGGCGCAAGTGGTTAAGGTCCTCACCTTGCACACCCGGGATCCCATATGGGCGCCAGTTCTATCCCGGCAGCCCCTCTTCCCTTCCAGCTCCCTGCCTGTGGCCCGGGAAAGCAGTCCAGGACAGCCCAAAGCTTTGGGACCCTGCACCCGCGTGGGAGACCCGGAAGAGGCTCCTGGCTTCGGATCGGCATAGCATCGGCCGTTGCGCTCACTTGGGGAGTGAATCATCGGACAGAAGATCTTCCTCTCTGTCTCTCCTCTCTGTATATCTGCCTTTCCAATAATAAAAATAAAAAAAATAAATCTTTAAAAAAAAAGAAGAAGAAGTCTAAAGATGGTGTGTTAAAAATAGATTTACATTCTGACTGTCCACAGACTTTCTTTCAGTTTGAAACCAGTGATTATATTCAACTCTGAAGTTGGGACAGAATCATATGAGAAAATCAGGCTTCGCTTATCCTGAAGCTGCTCTTCCTCACCGAGGACTCTGCTCTTCATTCCTTCATTACATAATAACTTCCACTCTCCTTCAACATTTTGGTTTAGCAGTCTGCTGCAGTGGCTCAAATGGTTACTCCTCCCCCTTCAAACACCAGGATCCCATATGGCCACCAGTACTTGCTCTAGAAGATGGCCAGAGCTTTGGAATCAGCACCCAAATGGGAGACCCAGAAGACTTTCCTGACTTCTTGCTTTGGATAGGTTCAGCTCTGGCTGTTGCAGCCATTTGGGGAGTGAATCAGCAGATGAAAGCTCTTTCTTTACTATCAAAACCACTTGAGCAAGACCCTTTGAACATGTGCCACATCAGGGACCTGGGGTGGGTGGGAGACTGAGTGGGGCTTCTCCATAAAATCCCCCTTTACCTCAGATACAGGAAGGAAACAATGTGGAAATAATAGTCTTACCCACTTTCCTGTAGCCATTGAACCTTTTTACCCTAATTAACTATGTAAAGATTGTCAAAAGTATAATAAAAAAAATGGAAAAAGTTAAAAAAAAAAAGATCTTTGTGCCTCACCTCTCTGTAAATCTGCCTTTTCAATAAAAATAAATTTTAAAATTCTGAAAATTCTTTAAATTTAGCATTAAATAGGGTATCTCACACACCACTGTCTATAAATAGCCTTAAATTCCTCACTCTAATTCTTTATGAGCAACCATTCCTTTCCAAAGGAAATGGTTTTAGTTTCTGCCTTATGGACATTTTCAAAACCATTCCCCTGGCTTGCATAACCACGTAGATTGCACCTGCCAATGATCACACATTTGTTCACAGGTTTCATCAACGCACTGGTAGCTCAGGGCTGAAGCAGCCACTGTTTGGGTAATGCAGGAGATGCATCAGGGTACGGTGCATAATAGAGGGCACAATGGCTCCATGAGCTAATTCTACTCTTAACAACTGCCAGGATTCCATATGGGTGTCGGTTTGTGTCCCAGCTGCTCTGCTTCCCTTCCAGCTCCCTGCTTGTGGCCTGGGAAAGCATTAAAGGACAGCACAAAGCCTTGGGACCCTGTATCACCATGGGAAACCTGGAAGAAACTCCTGGCTCCTGGCTTCAAATTAGTTCAGCTCTGCCTGTTGTGGGCACTTGGGGAATGAATAAGCAGATAGAAGATCTTTCTATCGCTCCTTCTCTCCTTCTTTCCGGAAATATGCCTTTCTACTAAGAATATATCTTTACTTAAAAAAAAAAAAAAAAGAGAGAGAGAGAGAGAAAGTACATAATGAAACTCCTGAGTACTAAGCTGAGTATGATTAAGTGAAATGATAAATAAAACTGACAATGCAAAATGACGTGTAATATGACAGACATGTGGGCAGCGTGGTATCACATTAAGAAAACTAAAATCACCTTCAGAACCAGAACAGGAGGGACTGGAAAAGAACGAGAATAAAACAGGTGTATTTGTGCGTGTATGCGACTGAAAAAGGAAGGAAAAAAATAAAACCCTGTAAATACATTCATCAAGGCAAACAGCTCAGACAAGTTCAAACAGAAACTTCCACCACGGGAATGCTGACAAGCTGAGCCGGAGGCACCACAAGAGAAATGGAGCTCATCTCAGAGAAGACGGCTGTAAGGTAGAGCTGGTGCACACCATAAGGACAGAACTTAATGAAAGTTGGTAAAACAATAAAGCTAAGCGCCCAGAATGAAAAAACTAATCAGAAATACACAGTGGAAGCTCTTGAATCATTTTCAGAGCTTAATTCTTTGAAAAGATTTAATTATTGCAAAGTCAGATACACTGAGAAGAGGAGAAACAGAGAGGAAGATCTTCCTCCCGATGATTCACTCCCCAAATGACCGCAACAGCCAGTGCTGTGCTGACCTGAAGCCAGGAGTCAGGAGTTCATCCAGGTCTCCCACAAGGGTGTAGGATCCCAAGGCTTTGGGCCATCTTCGACTGCTTTCCCAGGCCACAAGCAAGGAGTTGGACCGGAAGCGGGGTTGTCAGGATTAGAACCAGTGCCCAGCACATTCAAGGTGAGGACTTTAGCCGCTAGGCAACCACGCCAGGACCCTCAGAGCTTCATTTTAAGGTCACAGGAATGTGAATGAAACTTAAGACTATCCACTGCAACTGGCGGTGTGAGCTTTCCTAAGATAAAGGGGGTCAAGGAAGAGCGAGTCTCACAAAAAAGAACAAACTACAAATAAGCCTTACTTTTTAGTGCAGTGGAAACCATTAAACCCACTGGAGAAGCCAGCTGGGATACACAGTTTCAAAAATAAACACACCAAGTAGAATTGTACCTTTTAATGACAGCAGAGTTCGTTCTAGTGAACTAAGAACTGCAGATTCATTGCCTGAAGAAACTTGCTGCAGGAATGTGTCAGTATGGTGATTCCACAGAGAACAGGCAAAACTATAAATTCCAGATGCTAGCTGTAAAGAAGCAGCAATAAATTTGTTCATGATACATTCATTGCACTAAGAAATAAGAATATAAAATACATTTTGTTTTTATAACTAAGCATATCTTTTCAGTGAAATTTAACATGCAGTATTTATAGAAAATGTTTCTTAGCCACATTGCAAAGTATACTTTACAACTGATCCACACCTACACCCATTGATGCACACACAGAAATCTAAACTGCTGCTTTCTTGAAGGAATACTTGGCCTGCACTGCAGCATGACCCTACTCATCCATCTGTTTCCTGCGCTGGGCTGCCAGAAGCCACTCTCACCACATCTCCAGTTTTAAAGAGAGAGAGATCAGGTGGGTCCCGGGCGTCTCATGCCCGGATCCCATACGCCCGCCATCATGGGCACATGGTGAGCCGGGCCAGGGCGGCCAGGGTGCCATTATTGTCAGGCTTTGCCTGCTGGCCGCCCAGCAGGGGAGCTCTGGGATTTTGGTGGTTTGAATTGCTGCTTATGTGGCTCCACGTTGAACCCGATGTGTTTCTGCGAGGTGAATACATCCTAAAGTTTCCCAATGACAGTTACTCTTCCTTTAAAGAATGTGTTACCACTTAGCAATGCTGACCACCAAATACCAGTTCATGCTAAAGCTTTGGCACGGGTCTTGTCCAGTAGACACACTAACTGGATTAAGGCTACCACCAAGGAGCACATGGGCTGGAATGGGGGCTGTGTTCTGATCAGGTAAAAGTGAAATCCCCCTTGGCACAAGTGTGGACTGCGACTGCACCCACCAGGCTGGACCAGACCCCAGCACTGTCTGGTGCTCCTGGAGGACCAGGATAGACGTGGGATGGACTAGGCTAGGTCGCAACCCCTACTGAACCATGTGTGAGCCATATGTGGGAATGGACTGGACGAGCCATGGCTGGGCTGAAATATCCAACAACAAGAACCAGCTTGGGTCGAAAGCTAGTCAGGAACTGAGTAGGGCTGGCTCATGGACCCACTGGCATGCGCAAAATCCGGCACTGGGAGAGGTTCTGATGGAGGAGCCTGGGCAACAACTCTGGCAGAACACAGACCCCACGGGTAAGCGCAAGAAGCATGAATGGAAACAGCCCAGAGCAGGCCACAAGAAGTTTCCCACTGGCATACATTAGGCATGGATTGGGGGCCGACCAGGCTAATCAGTTAATGTCATCACTGGCAAATCCGAGCACCAGAACAGAGTAAGGGTCGAGCCAGGTTTGGTTGCAATAAAAACCAGTCCACACTACAGAATGCCAGGATGAGGTTGACTGTGCCGGATGTGACTGCAGTGCCCATCCAGCACACGTGAGAAACAGGAAGGGAGGGGACAGAGCCAGCGGGGGAATAAGGGGTGGTTCCCCTGCTGGACAGCTACTCCCACTGGAGAGCATGAACTGGGATGGGGGCAGACCAGACTAAGCAGGGCTACAACACCTGTGCACCTCATGTGGACTAGATCAGGGAAAAGCCAGGATGGGTGGATTGTTCCTATGGGTGCAACCTACAATTAGAATGGGAGAGGGCTGTTTGGGCATAGCCGTAGCATCAGCTGGCAGAAACTGGCGCTGGGGGCTAATCCTGTCAAGTTAAACTGCAGAACCACCTGGAAAGTGCACAATCCGGGAGTGAGAGACCTGGGAGGGAAATAGTGGGTTCCCCCCTCTTGGGTTACCACTCCCATGGGAGGGCACGAGAACTAGGACAGGGGCTGGGGTAGCTAGACAGAGAGGCACTCAACCACACCCGTGAAGGCTTGACTGTTGAGCTGGTTAGATGGATCCAAGCTTCAATGCCATTTGCCATGTACGAGAGCCAGGGGGGATGTGGGACAGACTGGACTGGTCTGCCACACATATTGGCAAACCAGGGTAGGGGGTGGGCCTGGTGGGGGTTATTGTGGGTCGCTCTCATCAGGATGCAGCTCCCACTGGTTTTGGTGAAGACCGAGTATGTGCTGTGCAGAACCAGGCTGGACTGCAACACCCATTGGTTCCAGTAGAAGGCGGGGCTGAAAACAGAACCAACCCAGCAATTGCAACTACCAGCTGACCAGGTGATGGACTGTGCTGGGCCCTGTGCTTGCTGGTGCATACAAGTATCTGGCCTGGGAACACCTCAGACGAAGTTTCTTTGGTGATCTCCCCAATTGAAATGCCAGACTCAGAACCCTAACCATGAAGGGACAGAAGATGGAACAAGTTAATCAACCACCTCAGCTATAGGTTGGCAACAAAATACCGGGCAAATAGAGAAGCTATGATGGACAATGTCAATTAATGGATTTTTCAACAACCTCATCATGTTTGGAGAGGCAAGATTGGCAGCAATTTCAAAACTGATGACCTATTGAAACCACTTCAATGAGTATCTAGAAGCATGCCCCACATGCGGGACTTGGGGTGCGTGGGAAACCGGGTGGGGCTTCTCCCTCAATATCCCCCTCTACCTCAGATATATGAAGGAAACAATATGAAAATAACAGTCTTACCCACTTTCCTGTAGCCCTTGACCCTTTTTGCCCAAATTAACTATGTAAAGATTGACAAAACAAAAAAAAATTATAAAAAAAATAAAAGAGAGAGATCAGCCCATTTGCCCTTCTGCATTTAAACAGAGCCACAGACTGGAACTTTCCTTAGCTGCAGTGTGGAGCTGGCTTCCCAGTTAGGAGTCCGCGACCCACTCTGCAGTCATCCACCCCCCTCGGGTTTCTTTCTGGTGTATGAGACAAGGTCAACAAGCCGCTGCCTCTGGCTGAATCCCTTTCTCCAACCACCAAGCTGAATGACTCTGAAGTGGCTCAATGTACCTTTACCATGGCCTTCTTTGCCTTGTATACATACCTGGTAGCTACTAGCTATTAAGTAACTCTTGCATGTTCTGAACACACATGTAATATTTCAAAGAGTAAACTCAAATTATTCAATTCTAATAATTCATTGTAGGCACAACATTACAGATATCCTTGTCTTAATATCAAAGTAGAAAGCAACAGTATCATAAAAACTAAGAGTCTATGAAGAAGTGGGGCCACTTGGCAGAACTGCTGTGAGGTCTCTATCCAGAACCACTCCCCATGTCAAAGACTTCCTTTAAGATCACACTGATGTCAGATACAGAGTGCTACACCAAGTACGCAGTGCTCATCAAAGTACAACTGTCACAGGAGTCTTAAAAATCTGCAACAGAAGCAAGTTCCAGCAGCAACAAGTGCATTTACAACTACGAGCAGCAACAAACTCTATGTGGGCTGCCAGAAATGGGTTTCTAAACCACAGTTCAGGACTGTGAGTTGGGCTCAGTGTGGTAGTATAGTGGCTAAAGTTCCAAATGGGAACAGGTTCATATCCCAGTGGCCCCACTTCGCATCCAGCTTGCTGCTTGTAGCCTGGGAAAGCAGCAAAGGATGGCACAAAGCCTTGAGACCTTGCACCTACGTGGAAGACCTGGAAGAAGCTCCTGGATCCTGGCTCCTGGCTTTGTATTGACTCAGCTCAGGTCATTGTGGCCACCTGGGAAGTGAAGCAGCAGATGGAAGATCTGTCTCTCTGTCTCTCCTTCTCTCTCTCTAAATTTGACTTTCTAATAAAAAAAATTTTTTTAAGAGAAAACTGAATTGTTCCTACAGATCATGTTGGAAGTTGTTAACACCTGCCACTTGGAACACAGTATCACCTTTCAGAATACTGACAATCTTTGTTGCTATTGGGAAATTGAATTAGGCATTTAATATATCAGGAAGAGTTAGCACCATGGTGTAGTAACTTAAGCCTCCGCCTGAGATGCCAGTATCCCATATGAGTGGCACCAGTTTAAGTCCCAACTATTCCACTTCTGTCTGCTAATGTGCCTGGAAAAGCACTGGAAGATGGCCCATGTGCTGGTGCGCCTGCACCCATGTGGGAGGTCCAAAACAAGCTCCATGCTCAGGGTTTCAAACCCGCCCAGCTACGGTTTTGTGGCCATTTGGGAAGCAAACCAGCAGATCGAAGACTTTTCTTCCTCACTCTCTGTAACTCTGCCTTTCAAACAAAAATAAATAAAAATTTAAAAAAAAAAAAGAGGCAGAAGATAGTGGTAGCACTGTAGCAAACTGGGTAAAGTTGCTGCTTAAGGCACTCTCCAAAAAATACCATAACATCAAGAATCACGGAAATAATGAAAGGTGACTCTGGCAGCCCTTCCTGCTGTTCATACTCTTCACAGGAAGGGAGAACAGGGCACTACCATCACTGAGGATCGCACCCTTGGGGGTTCATTCACAACATAAACATTTGCTGGGGGCAAATGGATTATCCATTTTTTCATAACTAGAGGATACTTCTCATAATTCTAAATTTGAAAGGTTAAATTTTTACTTAGCCTTATATATTTGAGTCAAAAACATAAAAGCATGATAAATCAGATAACAGTAGAATTGACAAAATCTTGCAGACACATAATATATTTGGTTCTTTAAATACAGATGCCAAAGACAACAATCAACGAATGATCAACTACCCTTTCCATCATTTAGGTTTCAAGATTCATTTCTCATGTAAATTTCAATTTAATATCAAAGAACTAACTTCTAGTTTTCGAACTCACAGATACCTATTAGCATCCCATAACAACTTCTGAATTATTAATATTATTATTATTATTACTACTAACTACAGAATCTAATACTTGTGATGGTGAGAATTGACAACACACAATGACCCTTTGCTAAATTGGGCACCCCTTTCCAACATTTTAATATAACTTTTTATATGCATCTTCCAAAAACTTTTTTTTTCAAGACTTAGAGAAAAGGAGGCCGGTGGGGGAATGAGCAAATATAAACAGGTCTCCCATCCATTGATGACTTCCAAAATGCCACAGCACATGGTATTTGGCCCAACCAAAGTTGGGAGCCGTGATCTCAATCCAGGTCTCCTACACAAGTAGCAGGACCCAGGTAACGCACATCATCTGCTGCCTTCTCAGGGTTTGCATCAGCAGC